GACCTTTGGTTTCTGGGGCAGGGGAATGGTGGGAAGAGGGTTTGAGGGAGGGAGAGAAGAGGAGAGGGCTGCAGGGAACTGTCTCCGGGTCTCCAGCCAAAAATTAAAGCATTTTTTAAAAGCTGGAGGTGAGTAGCAGGGGAAGGAAGGAAAAAAAGGAGATGGGAGTGGAGGGAGGGGACCAAACAGCCCCTCCACACCAATATCCCAGCAGGGGAGGTGAGTAATACTTAGCTAGTTCAGAAGGAGTGAGATCAAAAGCAAGTAGATACAAGAGGTTTGAGCTTCAAACAACCAGAGGCTCAATGAGACCTTTGTTACCTCAGGCCCAAGTCAGAATTGAAGGGATACCTGACTGCCTGCCTGCTGACCGCCCACCCCCACCAGCCTGGTAGGGGGAAAGGCAGGTCATCTGAGAGTCAAGGCAAGCTGGGTACAGCTAGGCCTAGCCAAGAGTGGGTGGAGAAGGGAGGAGGTCTGGAGCTTGGAGTGAGCAGAGGAGTGAGTGGCTGCCTGGGAGGCAGGAAGTGGATCTTCTGGAATTATAAAGGGAGCTGTGGGGGTGGGTGGGAGAGATTGGGTTGTCACCTGGTGAACCTGCCACCCCAGGCCCCTGTCCACTGTCCTTGGAGGGGACTGTAGTCCTTTGGCCTGGAGCACACAGCTTTCTGTAGATCTCAGGGCTGGGATTATGGGGTCAGTGAAAAGGACAGAGCTGAGGGGTGTGAAACTGGGTGATACCTACTCTTTGAAGTTAAGGTACGATGAGTCGTGTGTGTGTGTGTGTGTGTGTGTGTGTGTGTGTGTGTGTGTGTGTGTTACTGCTGGTGCTCACTGGGAGTTCAGAGGGTTGCCTCACCATGCCTCCAGGCACAGGTTGGGGGTAGGACTAAAGCAGGGTGCTAGCTACTTCTTGAAAGAGGTAGATTCTGATTTGGACCCCTCCCATTGGTGGTCCCTGGGAGAGAGAGGTCCAGATTGAGTTTGGAGGTCTGAGTCCCCAAGATTTTCCTGGTTGTAGGTAAGAAGGTGCCTTTGGGACCCCACTCTTCCATGACAGATTCCTACAGCTGACCCACAGTGGGAGAGGAAATGAACATACTTTTCTCAGGATTCTGAGACTCTGACGAAAGACAGACTGCACAGAGCTGGCTGCCCTCAGATGGTGGGGATTCCAACCCAGCAGGCCCCTTCTCAAACTACTAGCGAGGTCTGGAGCAGCGGTCTTCAACCTGCGGGTCACAACCCATTCGGCAGTCTCACATCAGATATTTACACTGCAATTCATAACAGTAGCAAAATTACAGTTATAAAGTAGCAACAAAAAAATTGTGTGGTTGGAGGTCACCACGAAATGAGGTGCTGTATTATTAAGGTGTTGAAGCGTCGGGAAGGTTGAGAACCAGTGATTTAGACAATGGTGCAACTCTTTCCGACAGTTTGGAAAGCTTGAGGTACCCAAAACTGGGGCATAGCTCAACACTTGCTCCTCCTCTGAACAAAGCACAATGTTGCTGTCGTGGATAGGATTAATTAAGCCTTAAAAAAAGGAGCCCACTGTGGGGCCTGGACATCTTGAAAAGATTGCCCTTATTTGCTACGGGAGAGGGTAGTTAGGGACCTGGGAGGAGCTGGATGCTAATTAGAGGAATCTGAGGAGGTCCTTTTTATGGCCAGGAAGCTGTACCTCCCCATACCCACCGTGAGGGCCATTGTGTGGGGCCTTTGAAGGGCTAGACTGAAAACTCTTTACTGCCTTAGCTTTAGTATTCTTGGGGCCCACCAGGTGGTGAGGGATGGTGAGAGAATGCAATTTGTGGGGGAGGGGACTTGGGCTCCCAGGAAGGCAAGGTGGGGAGAAGGGCTGTGTGAGAGTCCCCAGTTTCCTGCTTTTTTTTTTTTTTTCTTTTGAGATTCCTGCCACTGGACCCCTCAGCTCTGCTGTGGCCTATGGCTTTTCATTCCTATGTGATTGCTGTTCCGAACTCATGTAGGGCTAAAAGCCATGGGCTACAGTGAGGGGCAAGCTCCTGCGCTCCTGAACTTCCCTAAGGACCAGCCACAGGGGGTGCCAGAGGGAGGGCCGGCATAACTGTAACTATAGATTTGGGGCTAGGCTGTGTGATCTTGGCCATGTCACTTCTCTCTGGATCTGGTCCCTTCATTCTGAAGGGTTAAGCTGGTGAGCCTAGTGGGTGAGCCACTAAGGAGTTGTTTTCCTCTTTATTGAGGCCTGGCTTAGTAGTGATGTGGGAGTTGATATCAGCCCCCAAAGGCTTGGGTCTTTCCTCTTTGACCAGATATACTCTGCTTCTTGGTCATAGTCTTATTTCTCCTCCCACTGCCCAGCTTGAAATCCTGAGCTGCTCTTTTCCAGACACTTCGGCCTCTTGAGACTGAAATGGGAGCTACACTGGTGGTGGTGGTGGTGGTGGTGGTGGTGGTGGTGGTGGTGGTGGTGGTGGTGGTGGTGGTGGTGGTGATGGTGGTGGAGGTGGTGGAGGTGGTGGTGGTGGTGGAGGTGGTGGAGGTGGTGGTGGTGATGGTGGTGGTGGTGATGGTGGTGGTGGTGGAGGTGGTGGTGATGGTGGAGGTGGTGATGGTGGTGGTGGTGGAGGTAGTGGTATGTTCCAGAGGAAAACTGGGAAAGCCATATCTCCTCAGGGTACCACTCTGGAGCCCAGAGTTCCTAGCTTTTAGCTCTTACCTCCCCCCTCTGCTAGATTCCTGGAAGGTGTTGCCTTTTCTGCTCTTTCCTGCTGGGATTCCAGCATTCCCTGCTTCTTCCACCAACTTGGTTCTAGTCTCACTCTGTGATAACTGCCGGACTCCATCCCTGACATCCTGGGAAACTGCACAGATGGAAATGAAGCAGGCAGTCTGGTAGGAATGGCAAGGGAATCACCCCACCTTCTACAGTGGCCTCCCCATTCCAGCTCGTCTAACATAGACCACTGAAGGAGCAATGACACACTGTGTTGTTGAGAATCAAAAGGCAGATTACTTCCCTTGTCTTATTTAGATAGAGCCTTCCTTTCCCCAGTCAGCAATCTACCAAGTGTGCAGTGCATACCACAGCCCTTCCCTACTTGCCTATGTTAACCTGTTTGGTCTCCACGACAGCCCTATATATTATTAGCCTGTTTTATTTATGGGAAATCTAAAGCACAAGGGAACTGGAAAGCTGGCCCAGTGCTACGGCTAGGGAGCAGAGCTGGGATGTGAACCCAGGTGGTTGGATGGCAGAATCTACCCATGGTCTTATTCCATGCCGGAACTTACGGGAATCAAACCAGTGTGTTGGGAATGCAGAATCTGGGTGGTACTGTGCCTATGAGTGCTTCTTCCCTGGAGGTCTCCAGGGGGTGCATGGCTTTGAATTTTACCCAGTCCCATCATTCTTTAGCTACCAATGATTTTCTTTATCCAGTGTGGGCAGAAGGGTAAATCAAAACAACAGAAGCAAAGCCCAAACCAGATGGAGTTTTGCAGTGGCTGAATCAGTTTACTTGCCCTGTTGGCTAGGCTTAGATTGTGGAAAGACTTAGGGTTAACTAGCCCTTGTTCCAGCCTCCTCCCTGGAGGCTCCTGAGTTGGCTATTTTGTTTTGGTTTTTCTGTTGTTCTAGGAACTTCCTATCTTGCTTCTCTCCGCTGCCAGTTTCCTAATTGGAAAGTTAAAGCAGAAAAGTCACCTCCTGCCCTCTGCCTCAGGATCCTCTTTCACAGTTTGTCCAAGAAGGTCCCAGCATTGGGAAGTGGGGACAAGTAAATGGCTTCACAGATTCTCCCTCTTGTGAAGCTCTAGCAAGGTACTTAGGACTGCATAGTAATATTAAGGGAAAGAATGGTAAGCTAGGGGAAAAGGGGATAGTTTCCCCTCTAGCCTGTGGCTGGGGGTTGGGCGCCACCCCAGGATTACAACCTTGGGCCTCCTTTGCAGCCTTTGTGCCTTGCCACTATGGGTGGAGCTGGCTTGAAAAAGATCCGCAATGGCGTATCTCCCGTAATTGTTAATCCTCTGAATAGGCAAGCTGGCCTCATGCCCTCTTTCCCTGAGGATTCACAGAGCAGCCCTGTGTCTGTCCTGTCCCTGCCTGCAGACAGCTGAAACCAAAAATATCATAACTGAGCAAACTAAGTCTCCTACAGTCATCCGCTCGACCCAGCATGAGGCTTTCCTAGAGAGGCGGGTCCATGTTTAACTACACTGAGAACCGGGAGGTATTTCTCTGATGGTTATTGCCCATTTCTAGTGGAAATGGAGTTTGATTGCTAAACTTCACTTTTAAATGCAAAGAAGATAGGAAAGATTGCTGGCTGGTTCCCTCTTTCTAGGGGACACACCTTCTGCTTCAGGTTCCTGGCTCCTCCTCCCCTGCCGGGAGTCAGTGGTAAGCCTCTGCGGAGCCCCTGCTGCGGGTGCAAAGACATTACTTAAGTATTGTTATGCTGACCCTTGCTCCCAGATACTGTGCCCCTTAAGTCCCTCCGAACCCCTGTTAAATTCTTAGCTGTCTTTGTAGTCTTGAGAAGGGGGCTTTTATTCTTTTTCAATAGGTAGACAAGCCAGAAACTATGAGGGATGGCTGTCCCTGCAGGTCAGGTACTGCAGCCTCTACAGGCCATGGAAGGCAGAAAGGCCTTGGTTCCCAGGGCCACGGGAGCTCCTTCTCTAACAATCCAAGAAGGGGTTAACTTCCAAGGAGAACACAGGCTTCTCCAGACAAGTGCCCTATGCCCAGCTTGGTGGATGGCAGCCTTGGAAAGAGGTCCTGGGATCTGTAGTTTGTGCCACCACCCACCCCAGGTCTGCCTGTTTATCAACACTGCCTGACAGACTACAGTTCCCAGAAACCTGGAGGCCAGGCTTTGGGGGAAGGGGTGGGTGTGAAGCTCAGAGATGGCTGGGGAAGGGAGAGGGAGGAAGTGGGAGAAAACCCAGTTCACCCCCTTCCTTTTGAATTCTTTCTCCTGGTGTGTCTGCTGCACCGCCCGAGCTAATCCCCAAATCCGGTCTCCTAAGCTGCAGCTGCTTCCCTTTGCAGGGATGACTGGCTCAGGGAGGGAAGGTGAATTCATATTTTAATTACTGAGGCTCGGGTGCGGAGGGCACCGGGAGGGGGGGTTCTGCATTGTTTCCCCAGGACTGAGGGCACCCCTCCTCCTAGAGTCATTTCTGGTTACCTGGGGTGGGTCTTGCTGGAAGTGTGTTAGCTCTTGCTTTAGGATGTGAGGGGTTTGGGGTGGGAGAAACAATTGTCAGAGATTCCTGGCTTGTCCCAATACTTGAGTCTCTTATGTCCCCTTACCAGCCACCTGGATGTAGGGGTACATTGCCAAAATTCTAGAGATACTGAGGAATTTGAGGTCTACCAGCCTGAAACCTTGACTTCCTCCTTGGTTCCTCTGTGTTCAGGTTCTCCCAGCTCCCTAACTTTGCCTTGAGGTAGGAGGGTCAGAGGAAAGTGTGGCTAAGCAAGGGAATGTGGGGCGAAGGCCAAGAACAGGCAGGGGTGAGAAGTGAGGCTGGGAATCTGTAGGTTGTGCCAGGAGAGATGTTCTGTGGCTTATCATCTCTTCTGCATGGTTCCCATGAAGGGGCTTGGCAGAGGGACATCTTGGCCATTAGACCCCAGACCATCCTGTACTGAGCTGGAAAGAGCCAGGTGGGGGCGGACAATAGGAGCATTGGCAGTACCAGCCCCTTCCTTTGGAGTTTTCAAGTGCTGTTTTTCCATTCCTTACCCAGTCTTGAACAGTGGCTTAAGTGAGTCCAGGCTGGGGACTCCTACTGGAGCAGAGATGAGGGGAATATTCCAGGGTCTATATGACCCAGTAGAGAGGTCTTGGGATCTGACATCTCCAGGCCGCCTCCAGCCCGTGTTGCCAAGTGTGGAGGATGCAGCCAGGGAAGGGAGTGCATGCCCACTAGAGCACAACCACTGTTGCAGAGATTTAGCAGCAGTGCTCTCAGGTCCCTGTTGGTGGGACCTCTGGAGAGAAGAAATGAGGCCACTCAGGCACAGTGACATGGAATTCTCTGCCCAGTGCCTTTCCCACTTTGGGGACTGGGTCCAGTGGTCTTTGTGCCCAGGCTTCCAGGGTTTGGAGTTGAACCCTGTATGAAACCCCTAGCAGGGTAACAAGCAGCGGGAGAACTTGAGAGTCAAGAACTGGTGGTTCTCTGCCTTGTTCTTGATGCCTTTGGCAGCAAAGGACTCAGGATTCCCACTAAGCAGCATTGTAGCAGCCCAGCTCCTGAGGAACTTCTTTCAATGCTTCTTTTCTGTACCAGATGAACCCTGGTTCCTCCTACACCTGCCCCAACTTTCTCCAAGAGGGAGGCTAGGAAGCTTATCCCCTAAGGACTGGCAGGATCAGACATCAAGGGGAAGGAGGATGAGGAGGAAAGAGGCTCTTGGTATCTGTCCTGTGTCTAAGAGCCTGCGAGACTACTCCTTGGTGTAGGGCCGGGATAGAATAAGCTCTTGCCAAAAGCAGGTTTCTTCCCCCAGGCAGCCTTGTGGTACCCTTTGTCATGGTGACCATTGTTGTTTTTCCTCCTGGCGACTTGAGTATACTTTCTGGATGTACCCTTCACATACACCCCAGCATGGAGTGTGTGCATTACAGTTACTGATGACAAAGGACTCCACCAGCTCTCTCTCTCTTCTGGCTCCAGCTAGGGCTCTCAGTACCCATGTATTTCTAAGGGAATACATGGTCTCTAAATGTCAAACCTTGGCCCGAGTCCTGGTATACAGAAAAAAAGGAACCGAAGGTCCAGAGAGATATAGCTACTTCCCAGGATGACCGTAAGCCCACTTCAGAGTCAAGAATAGGCCCTAGCATGGACACCACCCTACGACAGGTTTGTCGTGAGAGGGATACAGAGATTGCTGTGGTAGATAGATCTAGAAATATAGTAGTTGTGTCTCGGTTTTATCTATATATATCCCAGAGACTGCTCTCTGCTCACTATATATATTCCACCAGAGTGGGTGTGTAAGTGGTGCTGGAAAGCAGGTTATTAAATAGCAGCCTGCCTTCCTACCCATGCTGACTCAAGCTGGCCTCCTGCCCATCCAGCTGGTCAGTGGAAATGCAGTCTCCCTATTACAGTGATTGGATGTATTACCAAGAACTGGGGGTGGATCCTGATGGGACCAGCTCCTTAGCAGACATTCAGCCGTGCAGGAAAAGCACATTGGACATTTATCCTGAGGGAGTTCCTCAGGGCCTGTCCAAACAGTCGTCACATGGGTCATAGCAGGTTCTTCAGGCCACAGGGGAGCCACATCACGGGTGCCTTGAGTGGGGCGTGGCACCAACTGTCATTTCTGCTGGAGATAGGGCATGCCTTGTACTTCATTGTTCCAAACTCTCTGCCCTAGCCGGACCACCGTCCTTCTCTCATTGGGCCTCACCTGGGTTGGGGGAGGGGTGCACATCTTCCTGGCCCTTTATGCAGTACAAATCCTATTGGCCGAAGGCCCCCTCCTCACAGTCTGTTTTCTACGTGACCAGGCCAGCATTAGAGGAGTTGTGTGCTACCTTGTGATTGTCCCTTATAGAGTTCCTTAAGTGTTTCAGACAGCTTGGGATTGTTAGAGAAGGACAGACTCTGGGACCCCATTCCAGATGTCTAAGTAGAGGCCCCTTCAGTCTGTAAAGTCCTTCATCTGGATGTGTGGATGTTGGATGTGTGACCTCGAGAATCAAGTGAACAAGCCACCCACACCTGATCCGGAAACCTGCATGAAATGACACGTCTAGGGATTGTTTTAGGCCTGCTGACTTCCTGTTCCCCAGCTGCAGCTGTGTGGGGATGAGGTAAGGCAGAAGGCTTGGGACATCACAGATAGCAGCTGGACTTTCTCTTAGGTGTGATATCAGTTCCACACAGAAAATGAAAAGCTGTGGATTTGTGATGGAACTCCTTCCCTCGACAGGCAGCAGCCTCAGGGAGACCTGAGGGTTCTGAGAATGATAACCCCAGCTTGCTTCTCTCTCTTGCTTTTCTCCCATTCTTCTACCCTGCCTTTCCCTACAGATATCTGGTGAGCATTCCCCCATCTGGCCCAGGGCATGCCCCAGTTCACTTTCGCCTGTTTCTGTGGTCTTCACGGCTTCTGCAAGATGAAGAGGAAGAAGGAAGAAGTTCACAGAGAGCGGGAAACGGTGGTGTGAGCAGAAACAGGGCCCCCTTGTCAACTCCCAGTGGATCCTGAGGCTGCTCACTGCTGTGGAGCTCAGTGCATGTATCTTCCACCTTCACTTAACTGGCACCTGACTAATTTGAAGATGTTGGCCTCTTAAGCCTTCTTGTGCCCATCCATATTAGCTTCCAATCTTTTGTGCTCCTGGAGAGAGATCTCAGCTACACAAGAGGATTCCCAGGATCTGCCACTTGCCTTCTGGAGACTGGGCAGCCTCCCTGGGACCAAGGAATGAGGCTCCTAGGCTCTTCTCAGGGTAACCCTCCCATCAAGCTTATGGGGCCTTGAGAGAGGAAGCAAAGTAGCTGCTCTTGCAAACCTTGGAGGGTTTGATGTATGAGACACCCATCAAGCACAAGATGGAGCCTCAGGGTCTGAGCCCCTTCCTTGCATCCTTGTGGGCCAGGACTGAGGCAGAGGGCACAGTTAAGACATTTGAGAGGTCAGACAGTGAGTGGCTCTTCTGTGTGTCACAGGTCAGGCTTCCCTCAGTTCTAGCCCTGACCGACCAGTTCTATGAAGCCCTTATTTCCTTGACAACAGACAGGTATGGGGAGGCCTTTCCCCAGGCACTAAGCCCCTCAGGGACTGTCCCCAGCTAGGCCACACCACTCCCACATTATTTTCATTTCTCCCCACTTTGGTCCCTCCTCTCTTTGGGAAACTGGAGAGGGCATTATGTGGGCATAATCTTCCCAGCCTGCTGTCAACCTCTTGCTTCAGGATCTTATGCCCTATGCCCATTTCTAGGAGTTCAGAAGCAAACGAAAAAGCATTTTTCTTCCCCCTCTTTCCTTTCTCCTTCCTTCACTCTCCTTCCCTCCCTTTATTATTGTTCCTGGATCTCTTGGGTGCTAGAGGTAGAGCTGGGAATTAAGAACAAACTATTAGCAGAAAACAACCTTTATGCAGTTTCTGGTTCGATAGCCTGCCACCCTCCTCACTGGAACTAACACTTCCATACAGAAAGGAGTCACATTCCCACTGCCAGGGACAGAACAGATAAAGTCCTGGCAGGACGTCAGTCTCCAAGATGGTGGAAGGTCTGAACTCAGTGAGGGCCCCTCCGAGCACACAGGAAAGGCTGTTAATCCTGGTCAAGGGTATTTCTTGGGCTTTCTGCAGATTTGCTGGGATCAAGGTTGTCTTGGTAGAGCCCAGCCCATGAGGCTTCTCTATTCTCCACTGGCTTTTTGCTTCTGCCTTCCCACCTGAACCACCTACTGTCTGTTACTTTCTTTTATATTCAAAGACTCATAAACAAATCCTTTCCTCAGGGAAATAGCAAGCTTCTACAGTAAAGGCCAGTGGTGTTACAAGGAACAAAACAAACTTTCCAGTTTCTTTGTCCACTTAGATGGTGGAGGCCTTGGGTGAGGCAGAGATGGCAAAAAAGCTTTTCGGGGATATTGTGCTACAGAAGCCAAGAGATCCCTGCCTGAGTGTTGCTAGCTGAAGCCTTCAAAGCTGCAATCAGAGAAGCCTCTCTGGAACTGGAGGATGAAATCATATCCGCATCGCTAAGAGGCAAGAGGCAGGCTTTGGGTGTTATATCCCAACCACAGAGGCTCACCCAGGGACAGGTCAGAGGATGGAGGTCTGGGATGGGTAGCTCTCTTGTGCTCACTTCACAGCCTTTGGCTGGGAGACAGCTCCAGGAGTTGGCAGAGAGCTGCTTCCCTCACAAGAGTGCCCTTGGTGTGGTAGAGACACTGGATATCTTGAGCCCCAGCTTTAGGAACAGAGTGGTTCAAGATTTTTTGAGTGTAGCTCCCCCCTCCCCACCTGCTTGCAGACCCGTCGTCCTTGCTCCCTTCATTCAGTATAAGGTGTAGTAGACCCGCTGCAGTAGACACAGGAGGCAGAATAGTAGCAGCTTGCAAACATACACTCTTATTTTATTTTGACTTGTTTCCTCAGGGAGATGGGGGGGTCTGTTCCTCTCAGTATCTGGGAAGTAGCTGGAAACCTGTTCCTAATTCTGCTCCTGGCTGGGTTCAATTTTTGTATTTTCTGTTTAAAGTTCCCTTCACTCTGCAGGAGCAAAGGCCAGCCCAAAGTCTTTTTAGACTCTGCTGAGGTGGCCCTGTGCTCTTAGGGTGAGGAGGATGTGTACACCTTCCATTCTTGTAGCACAGCACTCATCCTTAGAGAGTGGAGCTCTGCGTTCCCTACTTAGATAGGAATTCCATCTCTTGGGGTCCTTGGGATTTGAGTGTCTTCTAAGACCCTGGCCCAGGATCCCCCAAGGGCTTCTTGTCTTAGGTTGAAGATAGTTAATTAGAATGTCATTTCCTTTCTCCACTCCTAAGGGAGGCTGGCATTTTGAATGTAATATATGAATCCACAGAAATATAGAGAAATCATTAATTTTTAGAAGAAAATAAGAAGCAATAATTTAACTAAAATAAGCATATGAGATGCAAGAAGCCCTGAGCCAAGAGCAGGTCTTCTGGAGTCTTAGCGCTGTTTGAGAGCCAATGATCTTGTGACCTTGAGTGAATCAGGCCTTATTTCTGGGACTGGTTTCTTCAGCTATAAAGGGGATTGCATTGATGGCCTCTGAGTCCAGGTCTTTGTGGGATATCAGGTTCCCTATTCCTCCAGGGGATGTGTTCTGAGGACAGCTTGGGGAAAAGGTGGGCTGGAGTAACAGGCAGATCTGAGAAGTTGATGGAATATGAAAGAAAGCCCTAGGTAGAGCTTCTAGAATGTTCCTCTAGTGAAGGCTGGGATACTTCTCCCTTCTAGCTAAAGGGAGTAAGTCTGTGGCCTTCACTCTGACTCTGGTCCCTGTCTAAGCCATAACAGCTGCCATCTTTCTGCTCTTCTATGGCACGGTTGCTGAACAGATTCAGAAGGGCCTAACTCCTGCTTGGGTTCACTTTGTGCAGCTGCCCATTGCCCATCTCTAAGATGATGGAGCCATCCTCCTCCATTCCTCAGGTGGGATTTGCACAGCAGTGGGTGGGTGGGAGGCACCAGTGCTTTCTGTGTGGGGTAGTACAGCTTTCCTCTTCCCCTGGCATTCATTCTTCGCTGACTCCTGACAGCAGAAGCTGTTTCCTCCCTCCCAAGGATGAGTCCCACACCTGCCCTCTCTGACTGGCATGAACGGTAACTTGTATTGGATTTAGCCAGACATGGTTGAAACTCGGAATTGAACCCTTGGTTCCCAAGCTCAAAGACAGGCCTTCGCTGGGAAAGTCTGGACTGCTGTGTTCAGCAGTGTCCTAGTTGCTGCTCTAGGAAGTCCATCTTTCATCCTGAACGTTGTGGTTATGCCGAGCAAGTGATTGGGCTGACAGCACCTCAAGAATCACAGCCTTTTCTAGAAATGAGCCTGCTATATCTTCAGTACACAATGAGGAACAATGCTAGATAATCACCACCATCTCCTGTTCCCAGCACAAACATACCTTCAACATAAACAATCCAAGACCAGGATGCCTGGCTTGTCAGAACAAATTGCTGGTCCCCGGGGCCAGCTCAGGAGTAGTCTGTGCGCACTCTGCTAGGGTTGCTGCCTAGGCCCCTTCTCTAGATTGCTGTGAGAACCCATCAGAACATCAGATGAAGAGGAAGCACAAACCTTGACTTTTCACGAGGAAGGGCAGAGAACACACTATCTACAAGGAAGCTGCCCCGAGCAGCTTTATACCAAAGAAAACACTTCAGAAGTCAGAGCCCTGTAACTTGGCTAATCTGGGTCTCGGCAGAAACACCCAGGGTCTGAAATTCAAGGGTGTTCCTAGTGGGCTTCTGGTCAGCTCCCTTCCCTTCTGGGGCAGCCTTCTCCCTCAGTTCATTCCTGTATTCCATCTGAGGGGTGGGAGGAATGCCAACAGGGGAGATGGCAGGACCTAGACATATCCTCAGGACTCTCCCAGCCTCCCTTGCCATGGCAACGCTGCTATTTTTATCCTGTTGTTCATGATGCGCAAAGCTCTGACTTTCTCTGTTCCAGAGAGCCCAGCTGCCTTCTGCCCTCATCCCTTCTCATAGAGGCCTGAGGAGGGAAAGGAATAATGAGGGGAAAGGTGTACACATTTAAGACCTCCCTTAACCAGAGGGACCTGGTTTGCTGGCTTAGTCAGTTTTGTGTTTTCTGAGAGGTCAGAACGATGATCAACCTGAGTAACTGCTGTAGAGAAAGTAGAAAGGATCTACTGCTCAGGCTGTCTCCCCAGTGAGCCAAGATGCGCCTCTCTCGGGAACACCCAATGTTCTGCAGATTGTCCTGTTGGAACTCTGCATGACTGGCTAGCAGTCAGATAACTTGGTGTTGCTGTTGAATTTAAACTACTTCCCTTCTATCTCTCTACCAAAGAGCTAGGACAAACGCACTTACGACTTAGTCTAACCATTCTACCCCCATAGCAAGACAGCATGTCTTCCTCAGGCTAGAAAGCAGACTCCCTCCAGTTTAGCCATATTCCCTTCAGGAGCTTAAAGAATCGCCGCCTCCATACCCCTGCAAGGTGCTGGGGATGAACCCAAGGCCTCAGAACTACTAGACAAATGCTTTCCTGCTGAGCTGCATCTCTAGCATAATTATGTTCTTGGAAGGCAGCTTTTAGTGAAAGGCATTCTCAAATGTTCCTTCTGCCCTTTCTCCATGGCCCTGCCTTTGTCTTCCCATGTCCTGAATTCCACCACAGTGGCAGAAAATCTCTGAGAATACCGGTGCTAATGGTCTCCATCTATTTGCACCTATGTTGATCAGTGAGATATGAACTCAGCATGTGGGGTGGCTGGATTATCGGATACATTCTATGTATATCCCCCAACACCTTGAGCCTGGAAACAGATCTTAACCCAGCAGACAGCAATCTACATCTTGTTAACCTCTGCTTCAGCTGACTTGACTCCTGAATGGTTCATTTTCCTAGGGTGACTGAGGCCCATTTACTAAGGCTCGTTTTATTCTGGCTCTAGTTGCACAATTTCCGAAATCTATGCATCTGGAGTAAGCACTTTTTTGGTCGACACCAAAAAGCATGCTGGCAGATTCTGCTCTGATAATTGCTGTAATAAACACACTTTATTACGTCCCTTTGCAGCAAGTGAATTATGTTGTCAAGGCGTGTGGGGCATCCATGTTGATTTCACACAATAATGTGCTGCAGCAGAAGCCAAATGTGTTCCCACCGATCTGAGAGGAGGGAGATGGAGCTGGGTAGTCAGGAGTGTGTACACAGTTGATGAGGCCTGGGGGATACCTAAGGCCCTGGTGCTCTGAGCCCCATTTGTGCTCCGTAAACTGAGGGAATGCCTGCCTCCTAGCATCTCAGGGAACTAGTGGGTCAAACTGGCTGGTGCTGGAAAAGGGCAATGGTTTAGAACTGCACTATGATCTCATCACGACGTACAAAGATCTTTACTTGGGCTTCTCAGAACTATTGACCGGATGCATGATTGTCTTGCAAGGAAAGAAAGATGGAGTCACATTTGGAACAAAGATTACCAGGTAGTATGAATTATATATCAGTAGAGCTCTAAAAAAGAAATATTCCATCTCGGCTCCACTTGGGTTAAGGGGGCAGTGCAGAGATTCTACTTATTGTGAAGAAATGGGGGCCCAGAGAAAGGACAGAGAGCCTGAGCTGTCAGCCTCCTGTAAGTAAGAATTGTTTAAGGCAGGTTATGTAGCAGCTGCACATGAACTGATTAACTAGGGTATCCAGACCCTATTGCTCGGGCCAGCTGGGGGACACATTTTTTTTTTAATACTGAGTTTTGAAGATTTTTATTTATTTATTTAATGTGCATGAGTGTGAATGTCTCAGATCCCTTGGAATTGGCATTACAGACAGCCCACGGCTGCCATGTGGGCGCTCAGAATTGAACCCGGGTCCTTTGGAAGAACAGGCAGTGCTCTTAATCACTGAACCATCTCTCCAGCTCCTGGGACTTATTCTTTTGCCCGGGCTGACCTCAAACATTTGATCCTCCTGTTTGAGCTTCTTGAAGGTTGAGGATTACAGGTGGTTGTTGAGCTTCAGACCTGGGACAAGCAGCTAAGGTGCCTTTTGACCCAAAGCAGACCTGGCTTCAAGGTTCTCCTAGGGTCCCTCAGTCCCTACCTGTACAGGGTGTGGCTGACATACCTACCCTCTACCCTGAACTTTCCAGCCCAGGGGCTGGGCTTCACTAATGCAGACATTTTGGTCTCCCCCCCCCCTTTTTTTCCTCTCTGTGCAGGCACTTTCCTGTCTCCCCCTGCATGGCAACTTCTCTGGCCCTATTCTTTGAGACCAGTGAACCCTCTGAGGGCTTCCCTTAATAAACCTGCACTTATATACCTTAACTTGTTTTGAATTAGCTCATTTCACTGTGGAAAGAATAAGAACATATCAGTGATGTGCAGTTTATATAGATAGCGGTGGACTGACTGCTCGTGGCCAGGGTGGCTCTCTTCTCCCAGCTGAGCTTCCTTAACACCTGGCACAAAGTGTTCACAGGCTTGCCTGGGACAGGCAGCATCCTGTACCTGTGGTTCAGGAGCCAGCTTGGATGCCTGTCCCAGCCCTTCTGCTGTCTGTATCTGCGCTTTCAGGCTTTTAGCTTGAAGGAATGTGTGCTATTGTCCACTGAGCTCATTAAGTCATATTGAGTCCTGACCCTGAGCAGAGCTCTGCGGAGCCAAACAGCAAGTCAGCCAGTGCCCCCACTCCTTAGGAACTCACAGTATGACAAAAAGCAACATGACAAGGCTCAAGGAATCCAAGATCCTCTAGGCAGGGTTCAAGCAAAGTGCTCCAGGGCTTGAGAGCCAGGAAAGACTTCTCAGAGGCCATGGACTCAGAGCTGAGCCTTGGTGGCTGTATGCAGAGGCAAAATCCACCATGGTCTTGCCATCAGGCTGTGGGAGCCTCTTCTGTCACAAGTGGGTCTTATGGTTCCCAAGTTTCTGTCCTCTTCCAAAGTCTGACTCCTGGCATCTCGTTACTGCTTTAACATAGAGCTCTGATCACATGGGGTTAGGATCCTGGAGGGAGGTGAATGCTGAGTGACTAACAGGCATTTATTCCATAGTGCTAGCGAGTGCATCAGAGATTCACTCTCTTGGGACAGGTTTTGCTAGCAAGAACCCAAGAACTGGGGTTTTGGGTTCTGTCTGGGGAGGTGGCATAGTGGTTAAGAGCACTTGCGGCTCCTGCAGAGGATCTGGGTTCAGTTCCCTCCCTACATAAGGCAGCTTGCAACTGCTTGCAATTCCAGTTCCAGGGGATCCAACACCTTCTGGCTTCCTCAGACACATGCATGAACATAGGGCTCATAGGACAAACAGGCACAGACAAATATCCAGAAACAAAAAATAAAGGTAAGGGCATAGAACATGTCTGGTAGGGGCAGGAGGTATAGGCCACACTCAATCATGGGCACTGAGCACAAACATGCTGTGTCTCAGAAGTGTACCTGGCTGGACCACAAATACTCCAACACACACTTGCTTACTCTCCAGCCCTCCTTCCTTTCTTTCACTTACCCTTCTTTGTAAGAGACAATTTGCAAATTGCAAGACTATCATCCACTTTTCCCTCTTTTCCTCCTATTGTCTGTGGAAAGAAAGGGAGAAAGAGCAGGTTGTCACTCTCAAAATGTCCTTGATAGTCGTGGCTTTATCTTAGATGAAGCACTGTGGCCAGCTAGACCTCAGTTCCTATCTGCAGAAACGGTGACTTGCCTTCACAAGATGGGTTAAGGGGACAAGACTAGACCCAGGCTCCCACGTCAGTGTTCTAGTTGCCACAGCCTGCTGAAGTCACTCCATGCCCCACACTTCTGCTAGCCACCTGTAGAAGGCACACTTGAGTTTTTGTGAGGATTAGACCAGGTAACATGCTCAGGTGCTTTTCTAGTTTAGTGCCTGGCCCCGGGCAGGTAGGTGTTCAAGATACGGTAACTGAGAATTGGAATTACAAATGGCCGGTGTGTCCTTGGTGTCTCTCACATGTTCCACTGCAACAGTGCTGAGTGTAGAGCAGAGACTCAGTAAGGACAAGTCAAACAGAACTGAAGACAGCAAGACAGGTACAGGTGTGGGAATGGCTGTGTACGTCTGTTAATCCCATTGGGAAGGCTGATACAGAAGTACTGTGAATTCAAGGGCAGCCTGTGATAAATAGCAAGATTCATCTCAAAACAACAAAAAAGAAAGTAGCTAGACAACTTCTTTTGGTAGGGTAAAGACAAGACATAGTAGATAAATACATTTGCCCCCAACCACAAGGTGGTATGTTGAAAGGGAATTTTTCCGCTGCAGTGCGCTGAGTATCCTTCAGGCGGCGCTCTCGTCATCTCCGCCTCAGCGGAACGCGGGCTAGGATTGGCCCTGGGGATGGGGAAAGCTCGAAGGAAAAACAGCCCCACGCGTCACTAACATATTTACATCGCAACTGTCAAAATAGTTATTTTTAAGTCGAGTTCCGTCTGCCACGAGTTTAAAACCAAGCTGTGCGGGGGCGGCCTAATGCGCGTGCGCAGAGCCTCGTACCAAGGGAGGGTGGCGTCCCGGGTTTGGAGGGGAGTGTGCTTGCCATGTACCTGCTCTTCTTTTCGCCACTTTGCTCTTGGCTCTGGGAGCTGCGGACACTCAGTTCCTGTGTTTCCAATGTGGTGAGCAGGCTGTTCCTGTCCTAATGTCTGCAAGGACAAGAGGAAACTGTCCAGTTTTCACTTCCTCTGTTCTTGTCCAAGTGGCCCTGGTCCCTGACAGCACTCCCACCTGTACGTTTTCTGCAGCCCTACTCTCCTAGGTACAACGTGGGTCCATAAACACGTCCAAGAAAGCCATCAGAGCCTCTATATTGAAGCCTGAAGTTGAGGACCAGACATACCCCACCACCACTGGCCTTATTAGCCCTTCCTAGGAGGGCACAAGCTGAAGAATTCTATATGGGCTGGCCAGCACCAGGTGAGCCTAAGGCTAAGGAACCTTGGGTCAGCAAGCAGCAGAAAGAATGACTTGCTCCTCAATGTCAGGCCTGTCGAGAATTCATTTTTCTCTACAAAGAGAGGGGCCTGTGGATTTGACATTCTCAGGGTGCTTGTCTCTCTCACTCACTGTTCAGGGGCAATGGGATTTGAGACAGACGCTGGCTGGCCCTGCTGCCATCAATATGTGTCCCAGCCCTGTCCAATGTCTGCTCTGTAATGAGTAGTGCTTCGGAATGTCACCTCCATTAAGAGGGAAGCGACACCTGTGCACAGTCAGAGCCACCTCTCTGTCTTCATTAGGCAGTCCGAGGCCTAGCTGCAGGCTGTTCTGGCTCCGTGACAGATGACAGGCAGTGGAGTGAGAGCAGCAGACTCCTGCTGTCCAGGATTCATTCTCAGACAATGACCCGAAATGCCCCCTCCCCCAACAAACACCTAAATAGACAGCTGAGAAAAATGTCCTTCTGGAGCAAGGTGCAGCAAGGACAGTTAATAGCTAGAAAGCAGGCTAAGAGAACACGGGAGCCGATTCCTGGGACAGGCACTTCTTGCCACTGATCTCCCATTTGGGTTGGGTTGTGGGGTCTCTGCCTCTTTAACATTCCACATTCCAACTATCTTTACAGGCCACTTTTTTTTTTCTCTCTCTCTCTCTTCTAATAAACCTGTTCGCTATGCAGGTCACAGAATGAGTTGGAACAGATGTTCTGACACTAGACTTCTGTCTAGCCCAGACCTACACATAGCCTCCCAGCAAAGGCCTGTTTCCTCTAATTCTTTGCATTTTTGTCCTCTTGATGTAATAGGGCAGCAGCATGAGCAGTGCCACAGAATGGCAGGGGACACTTTAGTGGACTTCTTCCTCATAAAATCTGTCCTTAAAAAAATGCCAGCATGTAGCTGGGTGGTGGTGGTGCACGTCTTTAATCCCAACACTCAGGAGGCAGAGGCAGTGGGATCTTAGAGTTCAAGGCCAGCCTGCTCTACAGAGGGAGTTCCAGGACAGTCAGGCCTACACAGTGAAACCCTGTCTTGGAAAACAAAACAACAACAACCACCACCACCACAATAATAAAGGCCAGCATGATAGCACCTGACTGCAGCACTAAGGAGGTTGAACAAGATAATCAAGAAGTTCAGGACAGGATACCCTGTCTCAAAAAAAAAAAAAAACAAAGTAGGGAGCTGGAGAGACCAGGGTTTGAGTCTCAGAACCTGTATGGCCACTCAACTGTCTGTAACTCCATTGCAGATGATTTAATGGCTTCTTCTGGCAAGATATACATATAGACAAAGCACCATAAACAAAATAAATGAAGCAGGGCTTGGCAGAAGGCTGTGCAAGTGTAAGAACCTGAGTTTGAATCCCCAGCACCCATGTGAAGCTGCTTGTGTCTGATGTCCCAGCACTGGGGAGGCCTAGACAAGAGGATTCTTGGACCCCATTGACCATCCAGACTGGCTGAATTGGCGACCTCTAGATTCAGGGAGAGACTATTTACAAAAAAAAAAAAAGTGAATTTAAGGCCAGCCTGGTGTACAGAGTGAGTTTCAAGACAGCCAGGACTAGCCAGAGAAACCCTGTCTCGAAAAATAAAGTGAAGAGGGGCTAGAGGGATAGCTTCATGCTTTACACTCTTGCAGAGGACCTGGGTTTGGCTCCCAGCCCTTCATGGTAGTGTGCAACCATCCCAAACATCCTCTTCTGGCCTCTATGGGAAGCATGCAGACAAAACATTCACACACAACACAAACAAAAATAAATAAATAATGTGACAAGATACGACTTCTGACACTCTTTCTCAGAATCCCCAGAAAACCCCTGGCAGCATCTGCTGACCTCCACACACATACACATGTGCCTGCACTTATGTGCGCACACACTCACATGAATACATGCACACACAAACACAGCCTCCCCCACCCCCATAAACATACACAAGAAAGAGAAGACTGTCGTGAGCTTGAAAGCAGCTGGGCTAGATTGTGATTTTCAGGCTAGTCTGGGCTACAGTGTGAGACCCTGCCTAATAAGAGGATTGAAAAGAGAGTTTGTGAGGAACTGAGTTTGATCCCCAGAACCCACATTCTATAAGTGGGGTGGTGGTACATGTGTGTGCTTGTAATCCCAGTGCTGGGATATAGAAACTCTGGGGTTCATTGGCCAGCCACCCTAGCATATTCAGTGAGCTAATAAGAGACCCAAACAAAAACAAAAGAGACTCACATAGAAATAGAAAACAAAACATCCAGATGTGGTGATGCTTACCTGTAATCCCAGTGCTTGGCAGGCAGAGGCAGGCCCATCTTTGTAGATTTGAGGCAGGCTTAGTTTTGGACGGCTAGAGCTACATGAAAACAAAACAAACAAAATCAAAAGCAAGGTGGACACCTGAGGAATGAATGATATCTGAGGTTGATGATATCTTTGTGCACTTACAACTGAAAGTGTTCCAGTGTCTATGGAGTGCTCTGCCACAGTGGAACATCGCTATCATGCACCCTTCTCCCAGAGCTCAGGGTCCATTGTGGAAAAGGAGTTGGAAAGACGGAGAGAGACAGAGGCTGGGGAGGACCAGAAGAAAAATGTGTTCTAGACAGGAGGGGACCACTTATAAACTCCCAGCAGCTGTGGTTGCCTGCAGAAGATTAAGCTGATCAACATTCCAACAGAGAGGGGGACAGGCTCAAGAGGTCCCACCCTTCGCTGAGTAGCTGTTCACAGCAGATGACTTTTGGGGTAGTCAGTTTTCTTTAAGAGTGTAGCCCCGGGCTGGAGAGATGGCTCAGTGGTTAAGAGCACTGTCCGCTCTTCCAAAGGACCGGGGTTCAATTCCCAGCACTCACATGGCAGCTCACAGCTGTTTGTGATGCCCATTCCAAGGGATCTGACATCTCCACACTAATGCACATAAAATAAAGTTAAGGAAAAAAAAAAGTGTGACCCCTGATACATCAACCATGCTCTAGTGGACCCCACCCTTGTGAATATACAGGCAGCACACATTAGACCCAGTGGGTTAAAAAAGGGGGGGCAGGTAAGAAGGAAGGAGTGGAGGGGCCAGGATAGAGGATCTAGGAGGAGTTAGGGGTGAACATGATCAAAAGCCTTGCATGTTCTCATGATATTCTCAAAGAATTAATAAAAATATATTCAAAAGAAGCCTTTTTGTTGTTGTTGAGCCCAGCATGCAAAGCAGTGACAGTGGAGTTGCTGGGCACTGCTCCTCTGAACCCACTGCCCTTCCATCATATCTGACAACTTCAGTTAGTAAACTCAGCTTCAAAAACACTAGAAGAAAGCAGGGTATAGCTGTGCACGCCTTTAATCCCAGCACTTGGGAGGCAGAGGCAGGTGGATCTCTGAGTTCAAGGCCAGCCTGGTCTACAGAGGGAGTTTCAGGACAGCTAGGGCCACACAGAGAAACCCTGTCTCGAAAACCAAACAGAACAAACAAACAAACTAACTAACTAAAATCAACCAAAAGAGAAAAAAAGAAAAGAAAAATCACTAGGGAAGCTCACTCACATCTGGTTTCATGTTAGAAGAATTTACTGATTTGATTTACTAAAAGAAAAAAAAAAAGGCATGCTTTTGTTGATGCCTGCTCCTTTTTGGCATAACTATAGCCATTTTTGTTTTAGGCCTACCAGCCACATCATCTCAGCTCCTTGCTGACATGAAAGAATATTTGTACAAGGTCAGGGTGACTATAAACCATGTTTATGTTCAATGAGAAACTCTATGGTCTTGTTCCTAGAAATTCCCCAATCATAAACCACAGCTGGCTCCAGCTGCCGGGTTAGCTAGAACTAGTTGTCTACTTAACAAAAATAACTTGAGTCAGAGTTGACAACCCTGTTCTACTGTCCACATCCCTATATGAGCTAATTTCAGTTTTTGCCTTTATAAGCTAACTCTGAGAAACACTCAATGTCATGGTTTGGCTTCTGAGTCCACCTCTGTCTCTCTGATCTTGAGGTGTGTGGTTCAATAAACCATCTATATCCGACTGAGACTGGTGTCTGAATGGTTTGTGCAGCTTCCTCTGGACACCTTTAAGACATATTTATTTAGCTGGGCATGGTGGCACATGCCTAAATCTCAGTACTTAGGGAGGCAGAGGCAGGTGGATCTCTATGAATTTGAGGCCAGCCTGGTTTACAAAGCAAGTCAGGACAGCCGAGTCTGCGCAGATCAACCCTGTCTCAAAAAAAAAAAAAAAAAAAAAAGTTTTTATTTTATTTTTATGTCTATTTGTTTTTCCTGGTGCCCTTGGAGGTCAGAATTGAACTTTGAATTCCCTGAGACTGAAGTTACAGATGTTTTTGAGTCTCTGTGTTGGTGCTGGGAGGCAAACCCAGTTCTCTGAAAGAGCAGCAAGTGTTATTAACCCGTGAGCTGCCTTGTCTTTGTAACCCCAGTACAGGCTTTGTTAAAAGTGTACTTGCTGTTGTGTTTATCCAGTGGCTGTTAAGTGACTTTCTCTTTTGTTTCATACCCTCCCCATGTGTCTTAATGGAAGTCCCCTCTGGCCTTCAACATTGTGGTCAGCCATATTTTAAATTGTTTCCTTGGTACAGGTGGCTCCCTGGGAACAGAAACTGCCTTACTCCCATCCCACCTTCAGCCACACCATGATTCCAGATGCTTCTGCTGCTTAAAGGCAGGAGTCTGTAACCACAGAGGCCCCTGCCAGCATCTCCTGAACATCTGTGTTGATCCAAGGTGAATTTCCTTCCTCCTGCTCTCCTCTGGTCCTCTTCCTTGCTCAGTTGGCATGGGCTCCAAGACTATTAGTTAATTTTAATATTAGCCTAAGAAAGATTAATTAGAAAGGCAAACTTGTCTAGAAGGTGTAATTAATCCCAGAGCCAAATAGGAGAGACCAAATGGGGTTACCCATTGCTGCTTTCAAGTAGGGCGTAATCAAGGTTGAGCAGACTTGTGCAAACTCACCTCTGAAGTGTAGGGCTGTGTAGACCACACTGGGAATGGCTCATTCTGAGACAAGGGGTAGCAACAGGTGGCACCTATCCAAGAGAGCAGAAGAGACCTCCCTTCAGGTGTCCTGTCCCGGGTCACCCTTTTCTAGGCTGACCATAATGTCCCCTCAAGTAGCTTCTAGATCTTTTTTACCCACTCAGCCTTCACTCATTGTCAACCCCTATTTAATCTAAATGGGACATTAGAGCCGTATCCCACTTAGAAACTTCTAAATGTGCCTAAAAATTAAAGCCCCTTCATTTAGCCCAGAAGGTCTCCCGCAGTTGCCCCCGAGACTGTTTTTTTTTTCTTCTCACTCACCACCCTCCTGGCTGTCACCAGGGCCCATTGTTACAAAGCACACTCTTTCTGGAAGTCTCAGCCAGAATGACACTTAGGGGCTTTCCTATTTGCACTTACCTTATTTTCTTTTAATGATCTGTATTTTTTTCCCTCTCTCTTAACAGAGATACTGAGCTCTTCAATAATAGTCTTGCTTTTTTTTTTCTTTTTTAAGTCTCCTTTTCTTTTCCTTGATTTAAGACAAGCGTCATGCCAGTTCTACTATATGGAATGGTTGATAACTGTTGAGAGAAATGCTTCAGTTCTGGCCTTCAAAAGTGATGGCAACATGCTTTGCTCATCAAATCCCAAACTCACCCAGCATCCCTGGAGGAGTGGCTAATTCAGCTTGAAATACCCAAGGTAAGGGCTGTTGTAACCCCTTTGCCTTGTAGCTGAATCTCTGTGGCAGGTGGCTTTGGGAGCAGAGCTGAGACGGTGAATGACTCAACCTGAGACTGACAGCTGCTGGTCTTTGCTTTGGCTGATTTCCCCTTTTGCAAATGGTTGTTGGCAATTGAAACTGGGGATCTCCTATCTGCTTCCCTATGTAAATTGCATTTACATTTAAATAGCGTTTTCTTCCGAAGGATGGGGTTAGTAAATAACTGGCAGATTAAGTTTAAGGACAGGAAATTGTGCCCCATCTCAAATCTGAGACTGAAGTGGCATCTGGCTTTTACTATTTCCATTATTTTAGTTTAATAACAGCATGTGGCATTAAAGGAAGAGAAATTGGATCTACATTTTAATGAAAGGAGGAAACTCTCAGGATTTAGATACCTTATCATATTGAATACCTAGTCGATTGGCAATTAAACTTGCCTCAAGAATGGGATAGAATGTCTTCTCAGCTATGGAGAGAATGAAAACAACAAGCTGATGCCCAGGACCACACAGATAAGCCTGACAGAAAGGCTGAGCACACTGATGCCAAATGTTCAGGATTTCACAGGGCACAGGAATTCTCAGATGGAACAATGCTGACAATAGCACCATGCATATGCATGAGGGGAGCTTCCAGAGGATACTTTCATACAGGATGGTCTGTCTGAAGACAAACACCGAACAGGGAACTCAGCCCACACATTGTGGCCAACGTCGTCTGAGATGATAATTTCTTAACCCCGCTGGTTTCAAATTCCAGGGGTTTGACCAAGAAAATATCTCAAAAAATGCCCGTCTCATTCCAACAGTCACACTGTTTAAAATGGAAGCGATTCCACCTACTGGCTGATTTCTGTTGAAAGCAATTCCGGCCATGTAAACAAAATGCTTCCACAGCCTAATAAGGCAAGCCTATCATTTATTTGCTTTGATGGAAACAAACATGTCAATTTTCTAAGTCTTTGTCTGGTGAATCCAGTGTTTGGATGTTGATAAATGATCACATTACATGTTTGGAAACTGGTGCTCTATTCGAAACTTTGGAGTCAGAGTCTGGTAGCACTCAGACAGCCTCCATAGTCATCCACCCCAAGGTGCTCCACTCTCCCAGAGCCTGCAAGGCTGAAGTTATAGGACTACATAGGAAGTGTAAGTGGAATGGAGGCTCTGGGGGAGGAGACATTCGGAGGCCAGGGCTCACTAATAGAATATGTAGGATTTACTGGATGCCAAGTGCTTCATGTATTTTAATTCCAGGCCTCTTGTCAGTTGCATGTGAAGAGTTCCTGCTGTCATTGCCACTGCAGATAAAGCAGGGACTCATCACCTATAGATGGTAAGGGATAAAGCTGGGGTTGGACCTTAGGCAGGCCGCCTCTTCTGCTTCCTTTAAAGTGTTTCAGATGGCTCCCCTTTCCCTGTTTAATGAACACACTGTGTTTTCTCTCACTTACATTTTGTCTTGCATAATTGTTTTGAAAATCACAGTTTTTTTTTTTTTTTTGTTTTTTTGTTTTTTTGAAAGACTCCAGCTACTAGTATGACGGATATTTCCTTAAAATAAAGCTACAATAAGATCTACGTTTTACAAAGTAATGATAACATATATCTCAGCTGTGTTGCCAGTATCCAGAGAATGGAATGAGACATGAACGTGCTTTAAAGAGGCCCAAACCATGAGACTTCTATATGGTTAGTACTTGTCCTCCATCCTGATTCTTCTTTTCTTTCTTTTAATAAAAAAACAAAAACAAAAACAAAAAACAAACCAACATTTATCTGTTGTCTGTGCATGTGTGGACACTTGCATGCCACAGTGTGGGTAGGGAGGTTGGAGGAGAATAACTTTTGAGTGTTGGTTCTTTGTATCTTGTGAGTCCTCGGAATGGATCTCAAGCTTAGTGACAAGAAGTATCTTTACTCACTGAGCCACCTGCTGACCCATCTTACTAGCCCCTGATAATTCTTTTGTTTTGTTTTTGCTTTTTGTTTTTTGGGACAGCGTTTCTATCTGTGTAGCCTTGGCTGTCCTGGAACTCACTCTGTAGACCAGGCTGGCCTTAAACTCACAGAGATCCATCTGCCTCTGCCTCTGGGATCAAAGGCGTGTGACGTCGCTACCCTCACCACTCCACATTGCGCCAAACACCACTGGAACGATTCTTATTTTCTTGATAGAAGAATCCTTCATGTAGATCCAATCCAATGTGGATCCATGTTCCTATTCCCCTGTGGGTCTTTGTTGGTGACCTTGATGCTGGCATTTGTTTGGCTTCTTTTCTCCTCCCCGTTTCTTGGCACCCTTTAGTCACCTGCAGCTCCTCACCCCCTGTGTACAATGGTGACTTCTTCCAGCCTTTTCAAATTTTCACCTTGACACTCTACCTCTGAAGCTGTCCAGTGCCTCCTTCTGTTTGAAGTTAGCTCAAATCCACCATCTAATTTCCCCATCAATGTTGCTTGGGGTGGGGGCATGCTGCTGATGTCACACTGTCAGTATTATGATTACCATAATATCTGACAGGCAGAGAAGGAGCAGTCATCCATGGTAACCCTTGGGTGATCTTCAGCCAGCTTAAGTAACCAGCCTGATTGCACAGCCTTCAGACAGCCATGTGAAGGGGTAAAACATGTGAAGGGGTGAGTGGATTAATCACCCAGTTGGATTCCATTTGAATATTTGTCTTCCATATGTGTGTTCCCTCTAGGCAATTGTCTAATGTCACTTGAAATTGATGAGAGCTCTTTGGAAGGTTATTTTTGGGAAGCCGGGGAAACAACAGACAGCTGTTCCCTGTAATAAATGTCGATGGATCTACCGAAGTGTGCCTCTACTACCACCAAAAAAAAAAAAAAAAAAAGCAGCAAAAACCTACCCTGAGCTGTTGTGCCACAGTGCCCTTTCCTCTCTGGCATTAGACTGTTCTCTGGAAAGGCTGGTCCAGTTTCCCAAACACATGGAGAAGGAGGAAGTTACTGTTAACCAAGACTGCAACAAGAAGCATAGTTTGAAGCACAAATTGCCCAAGCAAGCGATCCTGAGCGCTCTGTCACAGGTCACAATTCCTGGCTTTTTTCTAGTTTTGTTTATGATGTGCTTTCTAATTGGACACTGATTGAGAACAAAAGAAAAGCAAAGTCGTTTCTTAAAAATGGGACTCGATTGCCCCATGCTAAGCGCTTAGCTTGCGTCCTTTAATACCATGGTATTAAAAATACTTGAGACCTGTTATAAATGAGGGGCAGTAAGTCCTGCATGGCAAAAAGCCTTCGAAAAGCCTCCACAAATGAGTGACTCTGCCTTTCCTGACTTCACTGAGTGGGTGATGGGGTTGTTGTTAGAAGTGGAACTCAAGAAACAAAGGGGATAAGGCTAATTGCTTTAAGGCTGTACAGGTTTAGACAGCCCAAGACTTCACAAATCTATATAACTCAGTCTGTGTTAAGAATTAAGTGTTGGCTTTTTCTAAATGCCAGTTCATCAACCACAGTGTTTTCTGGTAGCTAATTAAAAACCACCATTAGGCTGGCAACACAGCTCAGTAGGTAAAGGCTGTCCACCCACAATGTGGGGGGTGAGAACTGATTCCACAAGCTGTCCTCTGACTTCCGTACTCATGCTGTGTACCCACCCAAACATATACATGTGTGTATGAGTACATCACAAAATAAAAACAATTAAAAAATGTAAATCCTTTAAAAGCTCCATTTCATCGTGCTTGGTGTTAAACTATGTGTGAAAGCTACTACAGCCTGTAATCCTCGACTGCCCGGAACTCCAGCAGCCTCATGAAAGGGATATCGATAAATAACTTTTCTAGCTCACTGAAAACAAATCTTTCTCATCTCTTTCATATTTAATTAACGGTTTGTCTTCCAGGGCAGTCATGGAAATGTTTTGCAAATTTTACCCAGGTAAGTTTTCTTGAATAGAAAAGTTAGAAATCACTGATCCTTAAGACGTTTGGCAAGAGTGGAAGCTTCCCAAGGTTTGCACCAATGCCACCAGAGAGTCCCAGCAGGACTCTCTGGCAGAGAGCAGAAGTGGCAATGTGTGCCTTAGTGCCTGAGGGACAGAGGGGGTGCACTTGCGAGTCTAGTTGTAGTATTTATTTGTAACATTGTCCTAATGAATTTAATGTCTTCTTGCTTCAAGGAGTCCACTGTCAGAAAAGAGGCCAAGTTTCTATCACTATGGTGGATGTACAGTGTCTGAGTGACTATGAACTGCACAAGCAACTTACAAAACTTGGATTTACACCTGGCCCAATACTACGTATGCCTACAGTTAATATTGGGAGGTGGGGCGGGCCTCATTTGTTGCTTATAAACTACTTCCAAAGCTTAAAGAAGAAAAGTAGAAGAAACATATGCAGTAAAAGCCACTGAAAATATAAAAAAGAAAACAGAAGCATATGGAGGGAGGGAAGATGTAACAGACAGTACCATGTCCTCACACACTGGGAAATACAGGTCCCAGGGAGGAGATTGGCGGTTTCTATATTTTTTTCCAATGCTAAAAATCCAATTATTTATTATATTAGCCCTTGTGGGTTTTTGTATGTGCTCTATATTTTCATTATCTCTTTTCCTCACACACAACTTTGTCCCATTTGCTCTCAGACATACCCAGTACTTGGTTACTGATAATCTGTAGACATTACCTGTTTGTATAATGGTGGCTGTGGGGGCTGTCTCATGGTTAAAAGCCATAATTAGCCAATAATGTAAGGTCCTAGAAGAGAGGTCTGGATTGAACCCTGTGTATACAACATAGCACAGTTTAATTCTCCATGTTGTTTCTCAGCTTCCACCAGAAAAATGTATGAAAAAAAGTTAGTGCAATTGTTGGTCTCACCTCCCTGTGAACCACCTGTCAAGAGGAGACCAAGAAAGCTTCTTGGATCTGAGGACAGCAATGACTATGAAGGTACCGTTGTCTGTTGTGCTGCCAGATGGCAGCTCCACATTTATTAATACTCTGTCCAGCATGACTCACACACTGTAAATGGTGTGCATGCTGATCTGTGAAATAGCCATGTGGCCTTTTTTTGCTCACAGAGCCTACAAAATAAGCCCTTGGGCTGCAATATAATCTGAACAGCAATGACTCTATTCACACCAAAGACCCAGCTGGGTAAGATGCTGGGAGAAAGGCTGGCCAATGTACACATCCTTTACCACACTAGAGTCAGATGGTGTGTGTGGATTCCTCAAACTTAGCGCCTATAGTCAAGGTTCCAGCCTCCTGTGAGGTCTCCAGCCCCTGCTTTGCCTTAAACTAATACATCTCACTATAATTTTCTTTGGATTAGGTGATTTCACACACAGAAATAAGAATGAATCCGCTTGCATTTCCCTGAATTTCTCACACACAAACTGCTGCTGTCAGTTTGTATGTGAGTTGGCAAAAAGCTGCTGTCCCTGGGATACCTTGGCTTTGCTTCCAGTGGCCTTGGCCCCAGCAAGCACACTACTGTATAAAACAGCATAAATCCTACACCCATAGTTATCTCTGTCCCCAGGGCTGTTTGAGGATGGCGTTGGAGAAGCCCCACATTCCATCCCATAAACATTTCCTAGGAAGCCCCTGTGAGGCAGGGAGACAGACCTAGTGCGAGTCACCCATGTCTTCTGGACAGGTTGTACACCAAGGCCTTTAATCCTCACAACACTTAGTTAAAGTAGAGAGCTAGAATGACCAGTCCAACTCACATCACTGGGGAGGCCCTATGGGATGAGCAGACATTGGGAATGTGCCATGAAGAGCCAGAACACCATCACTCGCTGTCCAGCACCACAGAGCAGGAGTTCAATATAATTTTGAGGGTAAAAGGGGCAGAACTGGTAGGGCTAAAGGTGTAGCTAGATGCAGGGCACATGCCTAGTGTGACAAGGACCACCTGGTACGCATGTGCGCTCATACACACACACACACACACACACACACACACACACACACACACACACGTATTCACATGAACAGTGCCATAAGTGAGACTGGAACTCAGGACTGCTTCTTAAGAGCATCATAGCCTATACTTGATGAACATATTGTATTTTGGACCATGAGTGAGCTATATAAAGGACAATTTCCCATACTTATTAACAGTTTAATTAAACAGTCCAAGTGCTCTCTAGGAAAAAAAAATCTTGATACTGAATGGACACAGAGATTTCCCCAATGGGCACAGCCAGCTCATTTGGAAATGATAGCAGGATTTAGGGATAGACCCCACTGACCAGTATACAAGTAACCCGGACAAGTGGCTGCCTCAGACCTAGGTCTTCTCCGTTCCCTCCCCTGGGAAGAAGCTCAGGGAGCTAGTCCATTCCTAGAAACTGTTCAGGGCTACCCACGAGGCCAAAGCCACAGAGCCAGTCTTTGGTCAGCTCAAGCCAGTTCCAACCGAAGACTTCCTTCCCCCTGCTCCTGCACTTCTAGGGACACAAGCCTTTGCAAAGGTGTGTTTCTGCTGGTCCTGAAGAAAGTTGCTTTCTGTTGCTGAACTTGATTGTTTTAACTTCATCTAGCAAAACTCAACTTCCAGGTCAGAGCGGTGTCAGCTTCACCTCACACTTGCCTGAAATCCTGGATTATCAACTACTAGTCCCTACTCCAATCACAAAACTGTTTTTCAGGGGAGGCCTGAATTGTGTATTCAACGTCAAGGTTGTCATCCGAAGCCTTCTAGCACATTGGAATAGAGGGTTGAACCCAGTTTATGTGGGATCATCCTTTGAAGAGTCAGCCTGGACCTAGCAGGTCATAAAAACACCTACTGGGGCGAGGGATGGGACTAGGGTGACGAGCAAGGGCAGGAAGTTCATCAGGCCTTACAAACAACCAGCGATTAGTTTTTTTCTCATGTTGACTCACTGTTTTGGGACTTAACTTTAATTGTCTAGCCTCTTTTGTTTTTGAGGGGGAAGATAGGAGATAGGTTTTATTTTATTTTATTTTTTTCCTATGTAGCCCAAGCAGGTCTGGAATTCATTATATAGATCAGGGTGGTCTTGGACTTGCAGTGATCCTCCTGCCTCAGCCTCACCAGTCATGCAAATACATGTGAGTGCTGCACACCTGGCCACCAACCTTTCTCAGACATCTCAGATATCTCACCTGAAAGGCCCACATTAGCCTAACGGGTAGAACATGTCTGTAATCCATCACTAAGTATTTGGTTGGAACCCCTGCTCACCCGAGCCCAGTTCTGCATTCTTTTCAGCTGTTAAAACCTCCTCCTCTGATGCCTCCTAAGTGCTCAGCTCTTGACCATCCTTGGGCACAAACCCAGTTTATGGCTGACTCATCATTACCCTTTGCCTACAGTCTATAACATGTTCCCGTACTAGCCCTGGAGCGACTTACTCAGCCCAAGTCTTTGGGACTAATGTACCTGCATGGGAACAGCACCTAAAAAATATGCCTTCTTTATCTGCATTTATTCTGGCCTAATCTGACCTATATCTGAGTCAGAGAGAGAGAGAGAGAAACCAAGGGAAACCTACTATTACTAGGGAGGCTGAGGCAGAACGGCCTCAGCTGGGAGGTAAAACATCAAAAGAAAAATAAAATGCCTCCAGGAGTAACTGGGCCAAATGCACATCAGCAGAGCCCTCCTCGCATCCCCAAGTGTCACTTTGGATTGCCTTCTGCCACTCAGAAAGCCACTGGCTGTCCCTTCTTCTGGTGCTCTTTTTAGATAGGAGGCAGAAATTCCTTCCTGTCCTGGCATTCAGGGACACATAAGGCTCACAGCTCTTTTGCAGGGACCCCTTGCTACACTGAAAACAGCCTCCCAGAGGGCAGCCTGCTAATTTATGTCTGTCAAAGGCATGCAAACATAACAGCCAGCGGAGTCCCCCAGGAGGCATGTGTGTCTCACTAAAGCTCCAGAAGGAAAGTCTCTTTTCTCTATAAAGGGCATTGTGAATTTTCTTCCCCTAGTGAAAGCACCCTATGACTGAGGAAAACAACAACAACAACAACAAAAACAAAAAAAACCAAAACAAAAAAAAAAAAAAAAACACTTGTTCATTTCTTCTGCTGCCTTGTATGTTCTCATGGCCTGTTTTCTTCTTGTTTCCCCAGATCCATCAGTAAATATAATTTTGAAAGGAAATATCAAATTCTCAAAAGACAAAGTCAAGGAATGCAAAAACGTATGTATAGTTCTAATGCATGAATCTTACTACACCAATGTTAAACACAAAAATTAGCATTTTCAGATATGTAAAGAAAAACTCACTACATTCTGTTAGAGTCCCAAACTCCCAACCAAACCTGATCTTTTAGTGAAGAAAAACCAACCAAACAAAAAACAAACAAACAAAAAAAACCCCTTCCCTTTTAAAATGATCTTTGTGTTCTAGTCAAGGACCCAGACTAGCAATGTCCCCTGTGCTCCATAGTGAGAGAGTCACCATAGGCCCTGTCGGCTTCACACTTACCCTCCACCATCCCCTCAACATTCACAGACTGAACCTGGTTCTAGGCCCACTATGAACACAAAATAAGCCTCTAATCTCTTCCCTCTGCCAGCCAGACTTTGAGGTGTGGCTACCACCCCCACCTCGGTGTGCCTGGAGGCCAGGCATGTGACAGGGCTCCCTCAGGAGACACCTGGCTGGTTTAGGATCCCTGCCCACTGCTCGTTTCTGTCATGCTTTGGGGAAATCAGTTAGCTGGTATAGCTGTATCCAACGGGCTGTCAAGGGAAGGCAAGCCTGCCCTATCAGTACCAAGTGCAGGAAGGAACCAGTACTCAGGAAGTCTCTCCTGGCTTCTTTTTCTGACCTTTGTCCCTTACAATTTTGAGTTGTTCCCCTGGTACCGCTCTCTTTTTATTTTTCTTCTCTGCTTTGCCACTCCAAGGATTTTCTTTCTAACTATTGCCTTGCTCTCTAAATGTCCTCTTGCTTGAGCTCTAGCCCTCTCCTCTACTTTTTTCATGTGGCTTCCCCTGTCACCTCCTCCTGTGATAACTCCTCCAAGATCCTCCTCAGGCACAGGCCTGTGTCAAGTTAATGTATTCCTTCAGTCTCTAACCTTCCCTTCACTGCCTGCATCCACTCAACAAATGACCTCCTCACAGTCATGAGTATTTTGTACATTGGAGGGATACATTTATACCTTGCTACATGCACAGGACAGACATCAGAGCAAACAAGTAACATCCCCATCCAGCAACACAGGTGGGGCCTCTGCTTATCATCACTGTCCCAGCTCAGACCTCTTGTGGAAGAGCCACGTCTTTATGAAAAACATAAAGGTTTTCAAACTCTAGAGATTAGAATACGTATTGTAAAAATCTTTTCTGGGTAGGGCCAGGTGATTTGTACCTTTTTAACCTCAGTACTCGGGGGCTGAGGCAGGATGGTGAATTCCATACCAGCCTAGGCTAAATAGCAAGACCCTCTCTCAAACGAGCAGCCAACCAACCAAAAAAGTAGAGGCTGAGGATGTAACTCAGCAGTGGACACTTGACTAGCAGATGCAAGCCTGGGTCCCATTCTCAGCCTCCACCCAGCAGAAACCTCTCTTCTCACTGCTATCCCACCTCTACTTGTATTGTCATTGTTTTATTTTGACCAACCGCAAAATCTTCCAAATTGGTTTCTGCCCCTGACTTTTCTCAGTCCCAGAGTAGATCTCTCAGGAGAGGTGGCTTAGTCAGTACCAGGGCTCGCGCTTGGGCACTTTCTAAAGCTTTCATCCCTTTTCACCCAGTGGATGTACCTGGTATATTTCCCACAGCATCTCCTGAGCCTCCTTGCCAGCTGGTCCTTGTGCCTGGAGTTCTTTTCATTCTTCTCATGCCTGGCTCCTCCCCACCCCCCATTAAAATCCTGTGATTTTTCTAAGAAATGCTTCAAAGGCCACTCATGTGAATCTCTTTGAAATGACACTTTACCCCAGTCATTAGCTGAACTATCACAGGAGCCTGCACCTGACAGGAACCTAAAGTATATCTCCCTAAGCCTTATCACACAGTTTTAGCAACAAATAGGTTAGTTGCATTTGGAATCTAGTATTCAGACTACCTGAAGAATTTAAATAAATGAAAAGAAACCCCAGGTAAACACAGTGATTGCAGCCTCCCTTTCAAAACCAGCTCATATTTGATGAAGTGATTCTGAGCAAGCACAGCATTTTCTAAAAGGATTTTTTAAAAAAGTCTTCTAAATGGCTCACTAAAGGAATCCTTTCTATTCACTAAGCCCAGTTCCTCAAAAAACCCTTTTGTCTAGATCTTACAAAGATGGTTACAGTAGAAAAAGCAACCTTCGTACTTAAAACATTTAAGACTGGAAGCAGCAGCCTGCAGTCTTTGCTTTACATAAACCTGAGACAAAGCCACATTGATATTTTCAACTGGCAATAGAATTAAATAGAAAGTTTGGGATGGTACAGAATCTTTCAATGTGTAGGATTTTATATAAGCCATTTTGATTCTTCAAAGGGCCCCATGACATCTGTTCCACTTTAAATCTGGAAGTAAATGAAAATAAGGCATTTAGGTTTCCATGTAAAGGTGGCAGAAAGGGTGTTTATCATTTGTTACATACAGAATTTGGAGCAGTGGTCTGCACCAAATAGTCTTGTCAGTGCCTTGGAAGGGAGGGTTCTCATTTATTCAGATACTCTTCTTTCATTTTAGGGAGTTCCTAGTGAAGTAAAGCTATCTTGAAGCTTGGACTGTGCCAGCTTCCACACCCTACTTAAGATTGTGAATGTGGATTTTGTTAAACCACCTACATAGTCTGCTGATGTAGTTATTAAGACCACTCAAAAAAAAAAAAAACAAACAAAAAAAAAAAACAGATCAGTGGGCTGGAAAGATGGCTCAGCAGTTAAGAGCACAGGCTGTCCCTCCAGAGGACCCAGGTTCAATTCCTAGCACTCACATGGTGGCTCACAACTGTCTGTAACTCCAGGATCTGACACCCACAGACATACATGCAGGTAAAACACCAATGCACATAAAATAAAAATAAATAAATTATTATTTTTTTTTAAAGCCAGATCTGGGCTAGGGTGCAGCTCAGTACCTAGCAAAGAGGACAAGCTAACCTGATCCCTGTGTAAGTTGGCAGTACTTACTGCCAACTCAGGAAAACTCAGACAGGGACTGGAAATGGCTCATTCCTAGTGTTGAGAGCTAGAGCTAGGTTTGCACATACATATATAAAACTCAGACTCCCTGTCTCCTCCTTCAGAGAGATTTGCAGTTGAGAGGTAAGATCCTCCACTGGCATCTTGTATAAAGTGGGATTTGAGTAAGGTACCTGTGTGGTTTATCACTCCAAACATTATGAAGAATGAATGGGGGTTACTAGTTAGGGAGACTGGGATAACAAGAATAAAGCAGGACTGGCTGGATGTGGTGGCGCACGCCTTTGATCCCAGCCCTCAGGGAGGCAGAGGCAGGCATATCTATAAGTTTGAAGTCAGCCTGCTCTACAAAGCGAGTCTAGGACAGCCAAGGCTACACAGAGAAACCCTGTCTCAAAACAAACAAAACAAAAGAATAAGGCAGGTCTGTCTAGGTCACAAGAGGACATATGGTCATCTGGGTTTGGGGTTAGTTCCAAGGACTGAAGTATTTATGTGTGTGCACCTCATCTTGAGAGGGATGCTGTAGCCAAAAGCCAGAGAGCAGCTGGCAAGCTGGTAGGGGGTCTTTCTATGTCTCCATATCTCTCTGTGTCTCGGTGTCTCCATCTCTGTCTCTGTCTCTTTGTGTGTGTGTAAGATGGAGCCTCTGAGGTTTCCTTGTGTGTACCCAGAGAATATCTGCTGTTTGTGGCCAGAGCCTCAGTGGCTCCTGGTCTCCAGCCCAGTAGGGGAGGGGGAGTTTCCTCTCATTTGTCACCTTTCCTAAATATTCCACTCTGAGCTTTTCACATTGCCCCATGCCTAGGAATGTGCTTTTCCAGTCAGCCTCCCCTAACCCTTTGCCCACAAGCTTTCTCTCTAGGTTGTGAAATGTTGAACATAGAAGCTTCATCTTTGCTCTGAGTTCAGTTCAACTCCAGGCATATGAAGAGGGACTTCCCGGTCCCCGCTAGCCTTTTTGGAAGGAGCCTTAGTCCCACCAGGAGGTAGATGGTCTCTTTCTCTGATTTCCTATTCCCCCACCAGATGCTTCATCTCTTAGACAGACTTTACATCTTGGAAAGACAGTGCTTAGGTCACAGCCAGTGGACAACAGTTCAGAATACCATCAGACAAAGCTTCCAGCCAGGCTCAGACTATCAGCTAAATGTTGCTTCTGAGTGTAAGATGTCTTAAACCTGCTTGAGGAAGAATGTGGGTGAAGAGAGAGGCATAGTTTCTACCCTGAAGAAACCTTTTTGGTTTTGAGACAGCATCTCACTAAATAATTCCTGGTTGGCCTGGAATTGGCTACGTAGATTAGACAGGCTTTGAACTCACAGAGATCCACTTGCCTCTGCCTCCTGAGTGCTGGGATTAAAAGGTGCCTAGCTATGAAAACACTTTAAGATGTGCTCTAGATACAAAAAGACATAACAAAAATATGGGCGCTAGAGATAGACTGCCGGGGCTCAATCCCAGCTCTGCCCCTCACCTGGCTAAGCCCCAGCCTTTCTGGGTCTGAGCTCACCACCTGAAAGTAGGTTAATAATGGCTCCTGCCTTATAGTGAGTTGGGGAGGTTGAGCTCAAGGATATAAATCAGACTGTGGATGTGGTGTGGGGCAGAGTAGTTATGCCATCTAATAAAAGATACTTAGCTACAAATAAGGGCTGTTGTTTTTGTTAGCAGGATTGTTCTATAAAAAGCACACTAATTATCTGCAATACATAATAACACAGTTAGGAAAGAAAATAAGGTAATGGAAATAAGATCTTCAGTACTGAGCTCAGAATGATGCAGAATGTGACTTATCAGAGGGCCTAGAGGCATATTTATATAAAAAAAAATACTCAGACATAATTAAAGACTGTTTTCTGCATGCAACTTAAGCAGGCTGAACTTTCAAAAGTCCAGTGTGTATAAGCAGGGTATGGTGGCACACCTGTAAACCTAGCATTCAAGACATTGTGTCAGAAGCACTCCAAGTTCCAGGTTAGCTTGAGGGACATAATGAGACTCTCGACTCAAAAAATAAAACAACAACCAGAAAGGCTTTTGTACTCCCTGATGACTCCTCCTCCTTTACCTTATCTCTTTATCTTTTTTTATTTCTTTGAACATTTTAAACATTAAGTTACTTTACAGTAAATTTTCAGCTACAGAGTGGCAATAGTAGCATAGAGAACTCTATTTATTTTACCACAGTCATTTGTTTCCATGTATCATTTTTTCTGTGTGGAGAGTTGTGTGTCTGAACTCTCTTGAGAGCAAAATGTGGACAAGAAGCCTCCAGCTCTCAGGTATGCCCTCTATTGACTTGCAAATGAAGGACCCTATGACACTCCAGAAAGCCACCCAGGGCCATTCCCACTCCAGTGCACATACTCTACCACACTTCAACTACTGTCTCAAAGCATCCTTTTGCTTTCTGGTCACCACCATCCCAGAAACACCCGTCACATCTAGTTGTCTGGTCTCTTCAGTGTCCTTTATCCTGGCACAGCAATGCCTTAGTCTCTCCTTATAACTCATGCCTTGGCCAGTTTTAGAGATCAATGCTTTCATTCTGTTGTGTTAGTATGCCCTACTTTTATTGTAGACTATTACTGACACCAAATGTGTTCCAAACTTGTGCTCCTGTGTGTATGAGATACACACCTATGTTCCAATTTTTTTAGCAGACATGGACAATCCAATTCAATTTTGATAGCTACCCAGAGTTAACATCAGAAGCCACAAGTTGAGAGCTCAGTCTCTCAAACTGCTTCATTATGGGTGCCAATCCCAATCCTTGGCTTCTGATGGCTTCTGATGGACCAGCTATTTGAATTTCTATGATCCCTTTCTTGGGCCTGATAATTTGTGAGAATGGCTTACAGATCTCAGGGATAGTGTTGTTGGATAATTTTATGTTAATTTGACACAAATTAAAGTCATCTGATATTGGGGAAGCTCCATAAGATCAGGCTGTAGGCAAGCCAGTAGGAACATTTTCTTAGTGATTGGTGGAGGAGAGATCCAGCCCATTGTGAGTGGTGCCACACCTGGGCTGGTGGTCTTGGATTCTATAAAAAAGCAGGCTGAGCAAGCCATGGGGAGAAAGCCAGTAAGCAGCACCCTTGCATGGCCTCTGTGTCAGCTCTTGCCTCCAGGTTCCTGCTCTGCTTGAGTTCCTGTCCTGACTTTTCTCTGTGATGGACTGTTACCTCAAAGTATAAGCAGAATAAACCCCTTTCCAACTTGCTTTTGGCCATGGTGTTTCATCACAGCAATGGCAACTACCTGAGACAGATAGTTTACTAAATGTGTGTGTACTCAGTCCTGCTAGGGACTGATCCTCCAGTATGTTAAGTAGGCACTCTCCACTGAGCTGCATCCTTAGCCTTCTTAGTGTCATTTTAAGACTTAGATCATACTGGATTCGGCCAGAGGCAGCCTTGGGAAGATGGATATGGTCTGCTTTTGACAAGTCTATATCATTTCTTAGTTTCTGGCTCAGAAGACATTTTTAGCCTTACTTTGCTCTTTCTCTGTCCTGGAAGTCCCTTTACTTCAGACATTATAGGCCTACATGGTGGTGCTTAGAAGACAAAATTGAGAAAGTATCTCTTTCTTGACTGTCCATAATGCACAAATGTATTATTTTATATATAATGCATACATTTATATTCAAACAGATTTGTCTCTGATTATTGATATAGGTGTGTCTGAAATTAATATTGTACTCCAACTGCAATCATCATTTCATTGGCCCGTTCTTCCTAACAATTCCCCTAGGTGGTTTACTTCTCTAACCTGAATTCCATTAGCTTCTAACTGTGGATTCCATTATCATCAATATATTTATATTTTTGCCCAATTTTCTATTTTTTTTTTTTCTGAATAGTCTCTGAGTCACAGTGGCTACCTTCTCTGAATAACCTCTTGCTGCCTTCTTGACCTCTGCACATGTCAGCAACTCCCTGTGGCCCTCCCCCGCTGTCCCTTTCTTGGCTTTCAGAACACATACCATACCCAGTCCCCCTGCTCTAATCCCTCAACTCCAGGCACTCAGAGTCCTCCTACAGACTTGCTGTTCCATTCTTTTGCTCACACCCTGTGTCCATGTCCCCTCTGTTCACTTTCTTAATGTACAGGGTACATGGCTACATGGGAGAAAAATCTTCCAATTCTTAGGTTATTCTAACATTGAAGTGTTAACACTTTAATAGGATTTTTATTCTCTGTGTTGTAATGTCTATTTTGCTTTATAAGCTACCTTGTAGGTCTTCAATAGCACACACAGGTTTAAATGCTGCTATCAGAAGACCCAATGAGACAAAAGAATGTGTATTAAATGGCTTCAACTAAGTGTGTGGATCAAGTAGCATGTACAGGTTCTAGAAGACCTGATATTAAACATAACTATAATAGTTTGTTAATTAACTTTAAAACATCCTTATTCTCAACAGGAGCTGTATACCCTAGTTGGGTTAAAGGGAAGTGTAAATTGCATATTCTATAAATACTTACTGAGCCCTCTTACCTTTGACATATGCTAATGGGAGTTAGCTGCAGTCTTGGCAAGGAATGGGATTTAACATCAACATCTTACCTTAGAAACACTGGCCTCCCAGGAAAGATTTAGTGTGACCTACAGTGTGTCGTGAGCTCCCTGCTAACCTGTTGATTTCTTTCTATGTAATAGAAACCAGTTCCTGAAATGAAACGGCAGCAGGCAGACACAAGGAAGCCAAACTCTGATTGTAGAAACTGGAAGATGCCAATAAGGGTAAATTCATCCATGTTCCTAAAATTGAGTATCTTCCTTAGGAACACATGGTTTAGAAAGTGTGTTTTTCTTCCCTTCTGGGACCATTGCCATGCTGACTTTACTGTGTTTTCCTTTCTGAGAACATACATCTATCTTCATTTTATTGAAGGGATTTCTTGCTATCCTTCCCGTAGGGCATTCACGAGGACAGTTTCACGAGCACTAGACACCATTCATCATAACTCATGAGCCGGGATGTGATTTATTGAAGATAATTATTGATCGTGGAATTTCCTCCCTGAAAAGCTTCTTGGCTCTTCTTATAGATGAGGAAATGTACAGGAAGGAGATGATGTGCCCAAGAACACATAGAAAGCTAGAAGAAAAACTGGAAGTAGAATTTCTGTTTCCAATTTCCGTCCAGTTTTATTAAGTGACCAAGGGGAGTAAAGATGGCCTTAGTGATGAAATTGCTCCCCCTGGTGTCTGTTTTAAGACATTACAGGAGGACTTGTGACATTACTGGATGGCAATGATTACTGGATTTCCAATGACTGAGTCCTTTGATTAGTGGATGGTTCCCATTGCACAGCAAGGCTTATTGTACACAGGCGAACACAGCTAACATATGCAAATAAGTGGACGGAATTTGTCTACATGGAGAGTAAAAAAGTTGAGTTCGGATAAACTGGGTGTGGTGGCACATGCCCTCAATCCTAGTTCTTGGGACGAAGGGATGGTGGCCTCATCCCTGCAGCTTGTTCAAGGACAAGCCAGGGCTACATAATGAGACCTTATCTCAAAACAAGCCAATAACTATTCTAAATCTTCGAAATTTAGCATTGTTAGATTTAATTTAATTTTTAGTTTTTTGAGACAGGGTTTTTCTATGTAGCTCTGGCTATCCTGGAACTGGCTCTATAGACCAGGCTGGCCTTGAACTCACAGAGATCCACCTGCCTCTGCCTCGTGCTTGCTGCAATTAAAGACCTGCTACATGACCCTCCCCCCACCCCCACTAGATTTAGTTTTTTTTAGTGTGGTGGTGGGACATATTATTCATGATTGTAACTGGAATTTCTCTTAATAATTACTGATAAGATTGGGCATTTTTTCCTCATCTTAATTGGCCATTTGTATTTTTTAAGTTATGAAATGCCTGTTCATGTCTTTTGCCCATTTTTATTAGATTGTTTACCTTATTCGTTTAGAGGTATGACTTTGATATTGTGGATACCAGTCATTTGTTAATGATGAATGTATCAATACCCTGTGTTTGTTTTGGTTCATGTTTTCATTCTTTTCTTGCCTTTAAAATATGTTTTTGTTTTGAGATTACTGAAAATCTGTTGAAAGTTTCCAAAAAGAATGCCTATATGCTTCTCATGCAATTTTACCCATTTTTTATAGATGGTATTGGGGGAAGGAAGTGGGGAGAGAGAGAGACAGAGATAGAGGTTGATGTTGTTTTTGTTTTTTGTTTTGTTTTTCTCAGTTGTTCTGGGCCTTTGTTTTTTGTGGGTTTTTTTGTTTTTGTTTTTTAAGATTTATTTACTATTCATAGTGTGTCTGCATGTATGCCTACATACCAGAAGGGGGCACCAGATCTTATTACAGATGATTGTGAGCCACCTTGTGGTTGCTGGGAATTGAACTCAGGATCTTTGGAAGAACAGTCAGTGCTCTTAACCTCTGAGCCATCTCTCTAGCCCCCTGGGCCTTTGTTTTTTGAGACAGGGTCTTACTAAACCTAGGGCTCACTATTTGTCCACAGCAGCTGTTAGGGAGCTCCAGGGATCTGCTTTTCCTCTGCTCCCTGCACCTGGCTTTTTACACAGGTGCTAGGGATCTGGACTTAGGCCCTCATGCTTTGCCCACTGTTGTGGTTTCAATGAGGCTCCCATAGGTTCATATGTTTGAGTACTTTGATTTCCACTTGGCCAAACTGTTTGAAAAGGATCAAGAGGTGTGGCCTTGTTGGGTGAAGCCTGTTACTGGAGACAGGCTTTGAGGTTTCAAAAGCCCATGCCATTCCCAGCTTTTCTCTCTGCCTTGTGCTTTTGGATCAAGATATGGATCTCAGCTACTGTTTCAGTGCCATCCCTGCTTGCTGCCATACTTCCTGCCACAGTGGTCATGAGTTAAACCTTTGAACAGTAAGCCCCAAATAAATGCTATAGAAAAGTAACTAAGACACTCAAAGAACATCTCCCCAACATCAACCCCAAAACAGGAATGTTTTATTATGATGAAACTCAAACAACACAAAATCAGATGCTTTACAGTTCATAGTTCATAGGCAGTGAATGCATTCAGAATGTGCAACCAGCACCTTGATTTAAAATACCCCCCACACACAGTGAAGCCTGTGCCCCTGGGCTCCTTCCTGCCCATGCTGTGGCTACAACCTGCCTTTTGTTTTGGTGGCTTTATCTCTTCTGGATATGTCATATAAATTGAACTTTTCAGTGTGTGACATTTTAAAACTTTGCACAGGATTTCTGAGATCCGTCCACTGCTACATGTGTTTCCCTCTGCACCTGCTTGCTTGGAATATTCTGTTACACAATTTATTATGCTAAGGGGACATTTAGGTGCCTTGACAGTTGGGGCATTGCAAATTGTGCTGCTATGACCTTTCTTGCTCAAGTGTTTGAGCATTTGACTGCAGGGCACTGGGACCTGGCAGGGGACTTGCTGGGTCACATGGTAATTGTGTGTTTAAATCTCAGAGGAGTCTCCAAGCTCCTTTCTCTAGCTGCTGCCTTAGTTCACATTCCCACCAGCAACGCGTGAGCTATGGATGACCCCACTTCTTTGCCAACACTTGTTTCTTTCTTTTCTGTTGTTCATATTATAATTAGCAGCAGGTGTTAATTGTTCACTTTCTCGGGGTTTGTTGTGGTATTTCCATAAATTAGTACATTGTATGTTGATAATATCTGTTTCCTTTCCTTCTATCTTTTCTCCTCTTATCCTTTGAGTGCCCTTGTGGTTTTTGATTCATTTGTTTTGTATTAGAGACAGGCTAGCCTCAAACTCATGAAAATTTTCTGCCTCAGCCTCTCAAGTGTTGGTATTGCAGGTGTGTGCCATCATACCCAATCCCTCTTCCCTCGTCTTGTTTTCTGTTTGCTTGCATTTAAAGACAGAGTTTCCAGTAACCAAGACTAGCCTTTTCCTGACTGTATAGCTTTGGATGACCTTAAACTTCTGAACCTATCACCATCCCTGAGTGCTGGGATTACATATGTGTGCCACCATGCCTTGTTTTGGAATGAACCTAATTTTGTGTATGCTAGGTAAATACTCTACCAACTCCTCTGTTTTCATATATACATATATATATATATATGATATATATATATATATATGATATATATATATATATATATATATATATATATATGAGAGATATATATTTCCTAGTAATAAGGTCATTTGATTTAAATTTCCCTTATGACAAAACAAATGAATCAAACAAAACAAATGAATAAAAAACCACAAGGGGGGCTGGAGAGATGGCTCAGTGGTTAAGAACACCGTCTCCTCTGCAAAAAGACCCGGGTTCAATTCCCAGCACCCACATGGCAGCTCACAACTGTCTGTACTGCCAATTCCAAGGGGTCTGACATCTTCACACATAAAACAAAATTAAATACATTAAAAAAAAGAAAACACAAGGACACTTGTGATATTGAGTGTATCTTCATGGACTTATTGTCTGTTTCAGTATCTTGCAAATACTGAATATTTTCTTTCTTCCAAAGAAAGAATCTTCTTATATTGTTGGGATGTCAATACTATTTACGTACTGTGAATCTTTGTCAGAATATGACTCTTGAGTACCCTTTCTCACCCTCAAATCTGCCACTTCCCCTTCTCCACGATACCCTTTGAGGCAGAAGTCTTCAGACAGCACATGCTGATTCTTGCCTGGATTTCTCTAGGCATCTCCCCTCTGTGATTTCCTCAGCCTCTTAACTCTAAATGTCATTTATCAAGTTTGGGCTGTTTTCAGCCATTATTTTTTCAAATGCTTCTTTTAGGCTCACTCCATCCTTCTCTTTCAGGGATTCGGAAGAGACAAGTGTTAGAGATTTTCTTAAGGCTCCCTATGACTCTGAGACCCCGCCAACATTTCTCACTCTGTTGTGGGGTGATTTCTTTTTCTGTCTTGGAATTCATTGATTCATCTAGTGAGAGGCTTTCTTTTCTTTTAATTCATTTCTAGAATCTATACCTGGCCTTTTTTTCATATGTTCTGTTTCTCTGCAGTCTTTCTATTTGTCTTGGACATGTTCAGCGAAGCACATTATGATGGCTGCTTTAAACCCCTGGTGAGATAATTGTGGTGTCTGTACCATCTTGGTGCTGATGGTTATTTAGTCAGTGTTTACAGGGCTCTGTAGCCCATGCCAGAAGCTCTCAATTCTCTGCTGAGCCACCTGCCTGGCTGACTCTGAGTTTCGTATAAATCTTCTGTCTTGGCAGACCTTTCTGACTCCTTGAGGACTGCCAGATGTGGGTAAAGTCCAGATTCAGTGCTGATGACACCTGGAGTGTGTGTGTGTGTATATGTGTGTGTGCGCGTGCACAGATGGTCCCACACACACGTGTGACATTTCAGGCTCTGTTCACTGTGACTTGTGAGCTGTTTGGTTGGGGTGAGGCCAGCCAAAACTATCAGAAACTTTTCTCTTACTAGGCTGTCCTTTTCCTCATGGCTTTTCTGAGGGCCCTTTGGGAGAACTGCATCAATTGCCGTCTCTAAGGTGAGGATTTATCCAGCATGCTCTCCTGTATATTTGAGATAAAGAAGCCCACAGGTCTGTCAGCACTCTGCTCCTGTGGTCTCCCTTCCAATGGCTTTTCTCCAGAAGAACTTTCGTATGTCTTTTCATGTATAATATCTGCAGATGTGGAGATGTGGCCTATCCCTGGCCAAGACATCCATCTACCCTACCATGGAACAGTCCATCTGTAGTGTTGTACCTATCACACGTCAATTTTCCATAGATAGTTTGATTGCCCACACAGGTTTAGAACTTTGACACCCAGAGTTAGTTTTCAAACACATTGACTGCATATGGATTTTTGACCACGGTAGCAGGTTACCACAGTGTAGAGCTTGTCTGGTGAACTTTCATCTTTGTGATGTTTTCTGTATGAATGCACACAGGTATATATGAGACAGTCTTTATTTCTTTGTCCCAGACAGCTTTGCTGGGCCTGGTATGAATGTACCATTTGGAAACCCTGTATCTTTCATGGAATATTACTAGATTTCTTCAGTGCCCAGGAGGGCACACTTCTGGAAGCCTACTCCATGGATATTCTTGGGTCACCATCTCACTGATGGCAGAATGTCCCTTCTTTTCATGAGCCATTATGCCAGGTCCAAGCCAAGAAGCTTCCTTTTGGTTTTCTGAGATAATATCTGAATACGTAGACTAAACTGGCTGTCTTAACAATATCCTGCTTCCACTTCCAGAGTTCTGGGATTACAGGCATGCACCATCAAGGCCTACTACATGAGTTTCTGGTTTTGAGGACACAGGGTCTTACTAACTCAGGATGGCTTTGAACTTGCTGTATAGACAAAGCTGGCCTTGAACTATTGACCCACCTGCTCTGCCTCCCAAGTACTAGGATTACAGCATGCACCATCACATCTGGTTGCTTGCTACATTTTAAAAAAATTATTCTTATTGATTTATGTTGTACGTGTGTGGGAGTGTGGTATATGTGCACAGGTCACACACAGAGGGCAGATACCCTCCTCTACTGATTCCTGCCTTGTTTCTTTGAAGTAAGGTCTCTCCCTGAACCTGGAGCTTGAGTTCTTTTGGCTAGGTGGAAGGCCAGCAAGCCCCAGCAATCCTCCTGTCTCTGTCTCCTGTGGATACAGGCATCTGTGGGACCACGCCTGGCTTGTTACATGGATTCCTGGATCTGAACCTTGTCCTAATGCTTATACAGCAAATGCCTAGCCACTGAGCCAGCTCTCCAGCCTTACTTGGTTATTTTTAGCGAGTATTTTAACATTTTCCCATGTAGTATAGTTTTCATTAATGTCCTTCAGTAAGATTTTATAATTTTCTCACTAGAAGTCATGCTTTCTCTCTGGCTAGTTTCATTACTAGGTTAACTATTAATTTTTGTTGCTAAACAGTATCTTTTTATTTTTTTAAATCTATTTATTTATTTATTTATTTATTTATTTATTTATTTATTTATTTATTTTTTGTGGTACTGTGGATTGAACCTGTGGCCATGGGAAGTCAAGATGGCCATTGGGCCAGTGAGTTACATGCTGTGGCCTCAGCTTTCCAATTTTTGAGAGGGGTATTTAAAATTCATTTTATAGGAAGAAGAGAAAGTTGTGGCGTCTGTAACATTTACAAAAAAACACGTTCTTTAGAAGTTGGGCCTTGGTGTAACCTAAGAGCTTAGAAACCACCTCTAGGCTTTCAACCAATTCCCAACCCAAAATTAAAGACCCCAAACACTTCCACATGACCAGGCAATCTTGTCAGAACTTTAATGCTGCATGCATCATATTTCGGCAGAGGTATCTACGAAGCACTCCTGTCATCCCTGCACAGAGTCGTGGAGTTCAGCAAGCCCGCCAAGTGTGGCTCGCCCATCAGCTTACTTTGGGATGGATTGTTAAGAACATCCTCAAAACCAATGGTCTCATCATTGCCCCTAAAAATATCCAGTGATAGGTGTGAGCTCAGAAGAAATAGAAGACGCTGAACCTGCTGCACTGCCTTGAATTCCATCTGCAACTTTAGGGGAGCAAACAGAGCTTGGAGGTCTCTTTTGGTGGAGAAGTTCATCTTGTCTCGGTTGAACTGAAAAGGTTTTTTTTGTTTGTTTGTTTTGGTTTGGTTTTGTTTGTCTTTTTTCTGGTAATTCAAAATGGTGACTGGGCAAGAGTCTATTTTTAACACAAGAAAATCCTTTCTGGAGCAGATCATGGCTCCTGAAAGATCCACTAGCCCAGGGCTCTCTCTGTAACTGGAATGCTGCCCTTCAGCAGCAACCTGAGGCCTCTGGCATTCATCTTGGAAACCTCCTTCTACTTTTTTGTTGTTATTGATGAAGAGAGGATCTCATGTAATTCAGAGTGGACTTGAACTCAGTGTGTACCGAGGATAGCCTTCAACTTCTGCTCCACCTGCCTCCATCTCCAGAGTTGCTAGGATTACAGGCTTTTGAACACATTTCAGGAGAAAATTCTACCAACTGAGCTATATCTGCCCACTCATCTCATTTTGTTTTGAGCCTGGGTCTCATCAAGTCATCAGGCTGGCATTCAACTTGCTGTCATCCAAGCAGGGTTTGAACTTTCTTTAATTTTTAAAAAAAATCTTTTAAATTAATTAATTAATTAATTGATGTGTGGGTATGTTTGTGGATGTGTATGGTGGCGTGCATGTAGAGGTTAGAGGACAACTTGTGGGAGTCCACTACTCCCTACCATGTGGGTCCTGGAGATTGAATTCATGACCTGAGTCAGTGCCTTTGCCCACCAAACCATTTTGCCCACTCAGGCTTTGGCTTTTCTATGCTTCTGACTCAAACTTCAATACAGATGAAATGGCAGCCTTGTGCCACCAGGCCTTGCTGAGAATAATATTTTTAAATAACAATTTTTTAATTGTTCCTTGTGGATGTATGGAAGTGAAGCTAATTGATCTTGTAAAGCTGAACTCTTTGTAATTTTAATTTTTAATTTTTTTATTATTTTGTGTGTATGAGTGTTTTGGTTGCATGCTGACTAATTTTTATGTCAACTTGACCCAAGCTGTAGTTGTGTGAGATAGAGGAATCTCAAATGAGAAAATGCCTCCATTAGATCAAGCTATAGAGACCCGGTGATGGTGACACACACCTTTAATCCCAGCACTTGGAGGCAGGGGCTGGTGGATCTCTGTGAGTTCGAGGCCAGCCTGGTCTACAGAGTGAGTTCCAGGACAGCCAGGACTACATAGAGAAATCCTGTCTCAAAAAACAAAACAGAAAGATCAGGGTACAGGCAAGCCTGTAGAGCACTTTCTTAATTAGTGATGATGTGGGGTGGCCCAGCCTGGGCCAGTGGTCCTCGGCTTGCTAAGAAAGCAGCCTAAGCAGACCATAAGGAACAAACCAGTAAACAGTACCCCTCCATAGCCTCTGCACAAGTTCCTGACTCTTAAGTTCCTGCCCTTCTTGAGTTCCTTCCCTGACTTCCCTCAGCAACAAACTGTTATCTGGAAGCGTAGGCTGAAATAAACCCTCCGCAAATTGCTTTCGGTTCTTTCTGGTGTTTCATTACAGCAGTTGAAACCCTAACTAAGGCAGCCTGCATGTATTTATGTGTTCCGTGTGCATTCCTGATGCCCACAGAGGCCACAAGAGAGTAGTGGGTCCCCTGGAACTGGGTTTACAGGCAATTGTGTGATTCCATGTGGGTTCTAGGAATTGAACCTGGGTCATCAGGAGAGGAGCCAGTGCTAGTAACTGATAAGCCATCTCTCTAGTTCTCTATCTGTCTGTCTGTCTGTCTATCTATCTATCCATCCATCCATCCATCCATCTATCTAATTTTTTTTTCTGTAGATTCTTCTGTAATCTAGTTTTTCACCTTGAACTTCTATTTCTCTTCACTGCTCTGGCAAAGACCTCTTTATTACAATATTGAATAGAAATGAGAGCTGTGAGCACTCTTTTCTTGGTCCTGATGATCCTGCTGTTTTGCCTTGGGGCATGAGTTTTGGTCAAGCTAAGGCAGTTCTCATCAGAATCACCTTGAAAGGTGATGTTCATTGGGATTTCATGCTGAGGCAGTGCAGTTATTTTTAAAGATTTTAAATTAATTCAAATCACTATTTAAGTTAAAAGAATGCCAGTATAGGTGGCTTTGTTTTGTTCCCTTAGTTTTTTTATTCATGTGTTTGTGTATGTGGTACCCGTGGAATCCAGAAGAGGAATTCCTTGGAGCTGGAGTTACAGGCTGTTTGTGAGCTGCCCAGCCTGGGTGCTGGGACCCGAACTTGTATTCTGTGGAAAAGCAATACATGCTCTTAATTGCCGAGCCATCTCTCCAGCCCTGTTGTGGTTTTTGTTTTTATTATGTGCGTGGATGTTTTGGCTGTATGTACTCTGTGTACAATGTGTATATATATATGCCTTGTGCCTGCAGAGGCCAAAACAGGCATCAGATCCCCTGAGACTGGAGTTACAGATGGTTGTGGGCCTCTATGTAGGTTCTGACATGGGTGCTAGGAATCAAATTGGGTACTTTAACCACTGACCAATCTCTCCAGACCTTGTTTTGTTTGTTTGTTTGTTTGTTTGTTTTTGTTTTGTTTTGTTTTGTTTTGTTTTTGGTAGAAGAGTCTTGTGTAGCTCTGGCTGGTATCAGTTTTGCTATGCTTTGGCTCTTTGAACTCATTCTTTTGCCTCCACCTCCCAAATGCTGTCATTACAAGCTCGATTTTACGTTCTCAATGGAACTTGCTTTTTCAAAGACTCGGGAAAAAACAGTAAAGTACAAGTGTGATGTTATTATGAGAACTTTTGCTAAAATCATTTAAGTGAAGAAGGGATCTGGGA